TCTCATTACGGATATTAGTCCCATGATTTATGCCAATCAATACGGCCCTACCGTTTACATACTGATACAATGGAGCACCAGAATCACCCTAATTAGGTTTAGATAGATAAATGATTAAATAAATACACATATACACATATACACATATACACATATACACATATACACATATACACATATACACATATACACATATACACATATACACATATACACATATACACATATACACATATACACATATACACATATACACATATACACATATACACATATACACATATACACATATACACATATACACATATACACATATACACATATACACATATACACATATACACATATACACATATACACATATACACATATACACATATACACATATACACATATACACATATACACATATACACATATACACATATACACATATACACATATACACATATACACATATACACATATACACATATACACATATACACATATACACATATACACATATACACATATACACATACCGGACATGTAAAGGTGCCGTTATATTGAGGATATCGTTGGCCGAGTATAGCTATACGCCAATAGTCTGTCTGATTACGTACGGCTGCCCTAATCCTAATATAGCCTATACGTAGTCTATCGCTTCTAGTAGTAGCGGTTACTGCACCGTAACCGGCCATCAATGCCAACTCATCCCTATCATTGTGTTGGTTAGCCATTGGCAAACAAATACCGTTTAGCGCCCGATATGGATGCAGTAGTAGTCCAACGTTTGTATCGATAAGCGGTAAGTTAGCTGTTAGTTTGACCAGTGCCAGATCAGTAGCCCGGTGCCGATTAGATGCATAAATAGGATGGATAACTGTTTTTTCAACATCATAACCATCATCATTGTTATCATAATCGTTAATATTGATAAATAATTTGCTCGGGTAGATTTTTATATCACTCACTGGTAATGGACTTATTTCTTCACGGCTAATTAATGCAAAATATTAATGCAAATAAATATTTTATATTATTATATATATAATATATTTAATAAGAAATAAATTGATTATAATTGATTATATTATTAGAGATAATAGATTGATAAAATAAATTATATATATATATATATAAATATATTATCTATACTTAAAATTACGATTATATTTACTAAACTACGTGAGCGGCAGTCAGTATCCAACGTTTATTTATTATAACACCCGATCCATAACTTCTACTAAATTAGTTTTATATGAAATATAGTAAATATTAAAATAATTTTTATTAAAAATTATATCTATTATTATTATTATTATTGCAAAAAATATTTTTTGTGTCTGTATTTACTCCGTGCGTACTATCCATACGGCAAACGGCACTTCACCTGATCCGGCATTGCGTCCATTATTCAGTTCATGAGGTGGTATTAGACTTTGATTGGATTTGGATAACCATTGAAAACATTTGCCGTTTGCCAGCAATGATTGTCGACCGATACCACACTGAGAGACAGTTATGTTCGGATAGTCATCCATTTCAATGGTCGACCAGACATTTGTGTTGAAATACAACAACAAACATAAGTTTATTATAATTATTTTATTTAACATTTATTTATAGTTTTTTGTGTTTATAAATATCCTAATAATTAATATGATATAAAATATTTAATATAAAATAACTATTAATAAAATTATAATTTTTTTATGTTTTTTATTTTTGTGTGTTATTTTAAACTTAAGTTACGGTTTCATATTTATCTTAGCTAAAAAAAATTTTTAATAAAATAATAAAATTTCTCTTTATTGTATTTATTAAAACTAAAAAATCAATTTCATTTAATATATATATAGTATTTTTATAACAATTATAATGATTTATAATTAAAGTATAATAAAATTATTTTTTTGATTGCTATTATAACAACTAATATATTGAGATTTTACTAAATTTTTTGAAAGAAAAATAATTAATGAAAATTATTTTTAAAAACAAATTAATTATAATTTTATTTTTATTATTATTAAAAAAATTCATTAATTAAAGATATATTTTATTACATTATTTTTTACACAATAATGTTTTCAACTTAGCAATAGTATTGCGACTGTTGTAATGCCATATGATATATGTTTATGTGATATATACTGTAAATATAAATATATATCTATATTATATAAATACTGTATATATTTATAAATCATAACTAAAATTAAATGATGAGTTTATTTTACAAGTATAGTAGTATTTAAATTATTAATAAATTTTTAGTAATTATAATTTATATTTTGAAACTATCATAAGTAATATAAAAAATAAAATATATTATAATTAAATTAAAAACTATTTATATCTGTATAATAGATAGATATTTTTTCAAAAAAAGTATTAATTATAATTCAGTTATAAATTAATTTTGCACCAATTAAATAAAACAAAAATAGTAATAATAAAAAAATGTTATTTATATTTATTAATTAACACAAAACATTTATCTATTTTTTTAAGCATTTCTAAAAAATTAATCATTAATTAGAGGATATATATATATATATATATATATATATTCAATAATGTTTTTTCTATTTCATAACATTTCTAACTATGTGTTGTTGTATATTAAATATAAATATAATATAAGTTTTAAAAAATATTTTTTGTTTTACTTGTATATATATATATATAACTATAAAATCTAAATAATATGATAATTTATAATAAGACAGTTAATAACAAATAAGTTATTAATTGAATGTTATAATTTTATTTAAAAATAATTAAATGCTTTCATACTTTAGTTATTTATTTTTTATTCATTTTAGTAAATTATGTTTAAGATCTAAATTAAGTTATTTATAAAAAGTATTAGAAGTATAAGTATTAGAATATTTAATATTATTACAAAATATTTTAATATTTCTAAAAAATTGTTGTTAAATTAAAGAATAACAAACAAATAAAATGAATTTTAGAATAAACCTTGGATACTATGAAAAATAAATTTAAATACTATTATAAAATTATGTAAATCAATTATTTAGATAGTATAATACGGGTATAAAATCATTATTATTATAATTATTTTATAATTATTTTATAATCTTTTACTATATTATTTATTATATACAAATTTTATTATTTTATTTTATGCCTAACTATATTTTATATAATATTAAAGACAACGTTTTGAACGACAAACTATTACATAAGGTTTTACAAGTATTGGTAATAATTTTAATATTATTTACGACCATATTTTTATGTAAACTCTAAGCAATAATTTAAAATAAGATAATTTATTATAGACAGAGACAACAAAAATGAAAAATAATTATTATATTTTAATATTATATATATATATATATATATATATATATATAAGTCGACTAAAAATCAATTTATCATAAAAAAGGAAATATCTGTAATAAATTTAATATTAACAAACTTAAACAAACATACACATACACATACACATACACATACACATACACATACACATACACATACACATACACATACACATACACATACACATACACATACACATACACATACACATACACATACACATACACATACACATACACATACACATACACATACACATACACATACACATACACATACACATACACATACACATACACATACACATACACATACACATACACATACACATACACATACACATACACATACACATACACATACACATACACATACACATACACATACACATACACATACACATACACATACACATACACATACACATACACATACACATACACATACACATACACATACACATACACATACACATACACATACACATACACATACACATACACATACACATACACATACACATACACATACACATACACATACACATACACATACACATACACATACACATACACATACACATACACATACACATACACATACACATACACATACACATACACATACACATACACATACACATACACATACACATACACATACACATACACATACACATACACATACACATACACATACACATACACATACACATACACATACACATACACATACACATACACATACACATACACATACACATACACATACACATACACATACACATACATTAAAAAAGGGAGAGTATATATATATACAAACAATTATGAAAGAGTGAGTTTAATTTATTAAAAATATTGTTTCATAAAAATTGACAACATAATTAATATTGTTTTAAACAAGTAATGTTAGTTTAGCTTTCTATAACACAATAGTCACAATAATTTTACTAATGCATTTTCAATGTTTAATATATGCAAATCGTTTAACTGATATTATATAATATGCCAAAGGCTTAACAAAAAATTATCAAAAAAAAAATAAATTAATACAAACGTCAAATTTGTAATTAACAATTTTCTATGGCATACACAAAATGTGTACTACATATCACTAATGAATAATCTCGTAAAACCACTGATTAGGAGTAAAAAAAATATTTTTATTAAATTTTTTTTTCTTATCAATTTAGCCAACAGTATTTGATATTTGATTTTTACATATTATGTAGGTTTATGAGTGTTTAGATAAAGAAAATGCAATCAAGTAATCATTAATGTTTTTGTTGTTGATTTTTATTAAAATCATTGAATATCATAACAACACAAACAACAACAACAACAACAGTAACAAAAATTTTGTGTTGAAATTAAAAAACAAAATTTATTTAATGATTATTTTATAGTAATCATTGGACAATTAAGTCAGACAAAAACTATTATCAAAAGCTTATTATAACATTGTGTAATAACATAGACATACAATTTAATGAAAATATATGAAAAATCAAACATCTTTTAGTGTCCTAACTGTGCATATCGTACAGTAGTATCAATTATATGGTTATAATTTGATAAATAAGTTGAAAGTTGTCTTAATTTGTGTGTTTGTTTGTTTGTCTACATATTGATTAATACATAATTGTGCAAGTTACATAGAAAATGCCTCATGTTCAAATTGATAAATGGAACATATGGTACGATGAATATGGATCAGGTAGCCTACCAGTGCTACTAATACCAGGTGCCATAGGTATTAAATTTTTTGATGTTTTGTTTTTGTGCGCAACTAATTATTTATTTTATATTATATAATTTATAGGAACAGCTAAAAGTGATTATTATGAACAACTTGATGGCGATGATATACTCGATGAGGATAAGTTTACTATCATTGCTGTGGACCCACCAGGTTGTGGTAGATCACGACCACCGGTCCGAAAATATGGCAGTAATCTCTATGATATCGATGCCCAATGTCTTTATCAATTGATGACTGTAAGTGTTTTTTTTATAAAATATAAACAGTTTTATAAAGTATAAATTTTTGATAAATAGTTTTATTTTAAATTTTATATAATTAATTGTTATTAATGTAACTGTTTTCAGCATTTGGGTTACGAAAGTTTTGCAGTAATCGGTTGGTCAGATGGAGCGACAGCCGCTCTATGGATGGCCTGTAAATATCCGAAAGCCATCACCAAAATGGTAATCAGTAGTGTCGTTGCCTATCCCGACACCAAAGTGTTAAGTGCATTGAAAGCTATGGGCTCTGTTGACAAATGGCCCAAACAGCGACTGGACAACTATTTACGCTCGTATACCAGTAAAGAGGAATTACAAAAATTGTGGGACAAGTATCTCATGTTTTATGAACACATCAAAACATACTTTGCAAGTGATACTAATGAATCTGTTTATAAATTCATCAATTTTCCAGTGCTTATACTTCGTGGAGATAAGGTATGGGATCTAAGTGTAGGTTTAGTTTAATTTGTTATTAACTATAATTAACTATTTTAGGATAACATTACTTCAATGTCTCATTCGGAGTATGTGCTAAACCGTATCAAATCGGCAGTTATGTATCGGTTGCCAAACGGTGGACACGATTTACATCAACGATATTCACCGATGTTTAAGACAACAGTAGAAGATTTTTTGGTAAACAATGTATTGCCAAAAGGTTGTCAACAAGATATGGTTCCCATAACCTGTGATTTTGATTGTATAACCAGTGGTAATGCTGGATAATTCAAATTCAAATAGTCTACATATATTTACAGTATTAATAATTAGTTTTAATGGATTTAGATAGATATTTTTATACAATTTTAAATATACAAAAAATATATAGAAATTTTTTTCAAAAAATTGTGCATTTTTTATTTGTATAAAATTATGTTTTTTTAAAAAAACAGTTTTACTGTTTTTTCCCTTAAGTGTTTGATAATTGTATTATATTATATGTACTAATAATTATATGTATTACAATTAGAGCTAATCAGATAACAAAAAATCTAATAACTGTTTAAAATAAATTTACTAATCCTTATAATAATTTATTTTTTTTATTATAAATAATTTATACAAATCTGATACATATTTTATTTTTATTTTTTTTAATGATCATCAGTTGATTGCTTAAGTTAGTTAGTAATACAAACAGGAAAACTGTTATATATTTTAAATTTATATAACAACACATTGAATGAATTACTCATTAAATAACTAGACATACTATACATACAGGTATCCAAAACTACATGTGCTATCTATACAGTATTTACTGTTCTAAATGTATATTATATCACATTAATTGATGTAACATTAATAGTACTTTTTTTTAAAAAAAATAATAAAAATGCAATTAGTTTGATGTTTTAATAATTTAATTTAAATGTACTAAATGTACTGTAGTTGTGAACTCTAGTTGTATTGAAATATATTAATATTGTACAAGTATTTTAGTAAAATTATGATTTTAAATAGATAAGGGGTTTAGGGTTGGTATGACTGTCCTGTTTATGAACCAACAGTTTTTTTGACTCAAATTTTATGCCTATCCTGTTTGGATATTTGTGCTTTGTCTTGATCAATAATCACTTTATTAAATTTTTTTATACAAAATTATTAGTATAAAAAATAATATATTTTTAATTTAATAATACAAATAAAAATATATAAAAATGAACTACAAAAATGTAATTAGTTTAATATTTATTTAACTAAAATATTTATTTATAGGTATTACATTAAATAAATAATATTCAAGGCTTGTTATTGTATATTCAATCAATAATATATAATATTTATGTTTATTTATATCTATTTATATATATATCTAATAAATTTTCATATTAGTATTATTTATAAATTATATAAATTACATTTTTAAAATATTTATTAATTACTATATATTATTTTGTAAATATCATTTTAATATAATATAATACGACATAAGTTATTATAATTGATATAATAAGTATATTTTGCAGATCAAAATAATTATTGTGGATGATTAATTAATAAATAAATAAATATTAAATATAAGCTGTATTTTATTTATTTAATTATATTTAAAGCTAAAAAATTTATTTTTATTTTAGTTAAACTTATTTATATTTTTGAACAACAGATGGCAAATAATTCGTTAACAAATAGTTTATTTAATTTACTAAAAAATATTAATAAAAAAATTACATTAATATATAATTAATTAATATTTATTATATAATAATTGCTTTTTAAAATTTAGTTGTTATATCAGTCTTATATCAACTTTTATTTAAAATATAAATGTATTTATATTGTTTGTTTTAACCATATAATATAGTTTACATTTTGCTATATTTTATTTGAGTTTCAAAATGGTTTAAAAATTTAACTCTCAATATATTATATATATATATATATAATATTTTGCATAAGATTTAATTTATTAATTATAAATGTGTATAAATCTAGAAGTAATGAAAAATAGAAAAAAATAAGTTAATTAATGTAAATTTATTTTAATAAATTTTACCATATAAAAAACTTAAAAGTAAAGTTTTATTAATATTTTAATGGAGTTGCAAAACATGTTTTTTTTTAAAAAAAATAATTAAATAAATCATTTAAAGCAATCACATAAATTTTTATTTTTTGGTATATCCTATTGCCATCAAATAGAAACAGTTTGTTAAACAATTAAAATAAAATCGTGAATACTATGACATTAAAAAAAATCAGTTTGCAGTTTATAATATTTTAAAATGAAAACTTTCCAAAAAAAATTCCCAATTATTATGTATATAAATAATTAAAATGTATTCAATGCCAAAAAATCAACTCTAGACATATACAGTATCTTATAGTTAACAATTGAATCGTTTACTTTAAATAATTATATATTGGCTAATTAAAATAAGCTTATGTACTAACAATTTATTTTATTTTATTATTTACTTATACTTATTTGACATACAGTATATGATTATTTAGTTACAATACAATACAATACAAAAAATATATATTGTTAATACATTGAGATAATTGTCAATAAGTTATTGACTATTGCTGAATAATGTTTAAAAAGTTTTTATAATTTAAAAAAGTATTTTTATTTAATTTGTCATATACTAGTAGTATTTGAATGTTTATATAAATATTTCATATAAGTGTCAAAAAAGTTTTCAAAAATTAAATAAAATTCATTTTTAAAGGTAAGCATAAATTTACATTTAAAACAATAACTAACTTAATAATAATATGTTAATCATTTTTTGTTTGTTTGTAATAATTGATAAATATCTCATAATATGATTATATAATTATTATTTTTATAATAAAATAAATTAGTTATAATGATAAGTTCCAGTTTTTTTTCTAGTAATTAATTGTAATTACTTAATTATTAAAACAACAAAAATTATTTTATTGTAATAAATTTTCAAATATCAAGACATGAAAAAATTGCTAATGTTTTTTTTTTGTACAATATATAGGAAAAATAAATCAATTTTAACGCAATCTATTTGGCGCATAAGTTATAGTAATTCATAGGCTTAATAATTATTGACTTATTTTTATGCGATTTTATGTGTGCTAAATACAAGTTTTACATCTAATAATAATACAATTTTTTATTAGATATATTTTATGTAAAATAAATTAGGAAAATTTATTTGAAAATTTTAAAATATTGCAAAACCCAACAACAAAAAAACAAAAAAAAACAGTTTAATATTATAATCGTTTATCTATTGGGTCAACTAATATAACCAAAATCATAATTTATAATAACTGATTTTTTAACATTCAATTACAAAAGTCAAAACCTTAAACAACTTAAACATAACACGACTTTAAACTTGTATTAATTTAATTTAATAAAAAGTTATATTTTTTAAAAATTATATTTACAATACATTTGTATTAGTTATTTAAAAACAAAACATATAATCATCTTATTGTCTAAAAAACAATTATTAATACTAAAGGATTATTTATGTGACAATCATTAACAATGCCAAGTATTGAAATTAATGGCTGGAAACTTTGGTATGAACAGTATGGCACGGGTGAGATGCCTGTCCTCATGATTCCTGGAGCTATTGGTATGATTAACTGTTTGACATTTATATATTTTAATATAAATTATAATTATAAATAAATAATTACCCCAACAATCGTAATAATGTATATTTATTTTGTATATTATATAACAATATTTATCTAATTTGTTGTAAAGACTGTATATATATATATTTGTTATATATGGCACAGGTAGCAGCAAAACTGATTTCTATGAACAATTAGAGGGGGACGACATTTTAGATGAAGACGAGTTTACTATTATAGCAGTTGATCCACCAGGTAGTGGACGATCCCGTCCACCGATACGAAAGTATGGCAGTGCTGTCTATGATACGGACGCTCAATGTTTTTATCAACTCATGAAAGTAAAACTTAAATAATAAATATTATTATTTTTATAATAAAAAAATATTTTAACTTTATTATGATATTGTATAATTAGATTTGTTGTTTAATTAATTTATTCTCGTTTTTTTTAATAATAGCATTTGGGTTACGAAACTTATGCAGTGATCGGTTGGTCAGAGGGAGCGACTGCTGCCCTATGGCTGGCCTGTAAATACCCGAAAGTTATCACCAAAATGATTATCAGTGGTGTCATAGCCTTCACAGATCCCAAAACAGTGTCCGCGTTGAACACTATACGCAAAGTCGAGGGTTGGCCTAAAAGGACTGTCGAAAAGTATTTGCGATCGTATTCGAGTCGAGAAGAGATACAGAAGCTATGGGACAAACATCTCATGTTTTATGAACATCAGAAAACATACTTTCCCATTGATCCCAACGAAACTAAATACAAACTCATTGACTTTCCTGTACTTGTTTTACATGGAGATAAGGTATTTAGGAAATATATATATATTTATTATTGAATAATGTAAATATTTAATTATTAATAATTTATATTATTTATAAATATAGGACACCATTAGCTCCATAGATCACGCACAGTATGTCATCAAACGTATAAAAACTGCTGATTTACAACGTTTTCAAAATGGTGAACACAATCTACATGAGCGATACGCACCGATATTCAAGAAAGTTGTCGAGGATTACCTAATCAGAGACATATTGAGTGCCAGCGCAGAGAAAAGTGTTTACAATCAGTTGAGTGAAATTGATTGTCTGGCAAATGGCATGACATGAAAGTCTAAACTTAATTATTATAAATTAATTTTGTTTACTCAAAAAAAATTATTGTTAAATATTTCTCAAACCCTACACTAAAATGCATTACTAAAATAATTTTTAAACAAATACTGTAATAATACTAAATATTTTCCTATATTTGTTTAAAATTTAAATTATTAATACTTATTTATACTAGTATTTTATTTATATTAAAATTTATTGTTGTAAATCAACTCACAAATCTTTTATGTTTTTTTGACAGTTTTTTATATTAAGTATTTTATACATTGTTAAATAAAAAAAATTATACACATGCTTTATCATTTATATTATATAGTATATAATATATACTTTATAACTATTTTATTTAATATTAACAAAAGATATTGTTATAACATTTACACACCATTAAAAAAATTTATATCAATATTTAAGTCAATTATTAATTTACAGTAGAATAAAAATAATAATTTGTATTTTCAAGGTAAATCAATAAAATCAATTATATATATATTTTATATTACTTTTACTTTTTATTTATTATTCAATTAATCGAGACATTCAGAAAATTTTATAAGAAAAATAATGCAATTAAATTAAAAATAACTTATAATATAATCAAATAATTGCCTTTATTTTACAGTAATATAGTAATTACTATTAAAAATATATATATTATTATCATTATTATTGAAAAAATTTTTAAACTAGTTTTTACGAATAAAACTTAAATATTTTCGACTTAAAAGTATCGGAAAATTTTATTTAAAATATTTTTATTTTTATAACATGTATTAAAATTTCTTGGCTCTATTATTAACATTAAAAAATAATTTAATATTATTATTATTATAATTAATATATTGGTTCAACATTGCATATCCCAGTGCCTCATTATGATTATAGGGATGTAATGTACATGTATAGTATAATATTTTATTTAATTTAATATATTCAAAGTGATTGAATATAAAAATGCAATACAATTGACTGATCAATCATAGACTAGACATTAACAGCACCAACAGGTCTTTGTAGGTAATTATTTACACACAAAAAAATATAAATTATTGAGAAAAAAATAGTTTTCACCATTTTATTGAAAACTCCTCAACGCTGTAATGATATCATTAAAAAAAAAATTTTTGAAATTTTGAAAAAATATATTTACAACTAAGTATCGACTTATAACATCCTAATGTAGACATCAGTGATAAACCTAATAATTAATAAATAATAATAATAATAATAATTTTGACGCACAGATAGTTAAACAAACAAAAAACTGTGCAAAGAGTGGATGTGATACCAGTTTAACAACACAACAGTTGTTTGTATTGTACAGTATATACAGTATATATCATAGGGTTAACAAAACTTTCACGTAAAACCTCAATCAGATTATTAGTATTATTGTTGTTGTTTTTGTGTTAAATATTGTTTTGAAAGTTGAAATTGAAACTGTTGTCTACATTACTATATATATATTTAAAAAATATTTTTTGTGCCAAAAGTATGACTACTACCAGTGCTAGTGTCGAGTTTAATGGTTGGACCATTTGGTACGATAAGCATGGATCCGGAGATATACCTGTCCTTATGATTCCTGGTGCTATAGGTATGTGTTAAAAATTTAAATAATTTAAAATTTTTCATTAATAATAAATTATTAATAGATAAAGATATATTTAAATTTATTAGAATAATATTTAAATATAAATATCATTTATAATACTAAAAAAAATAGTACTGATATAATAAATATTCATTTATCACATTTTGGTGTTATTCTTACTAAAATTATAATATAGGTTAGACTATGTTTTTTAAATTTAAAAATATTCATATAAATTGATATTAAACTAAATTATTATTATTATTTTATGGCAAAAAAAGGTACGGCAAGGACTGACTTTTATGAACAGTTAGAAGGAGACGATATACTGGATGAGGACAAGTTTACTATCATAGCTGTAGACCCTCCCGGCTCTGGTAGGTCTCGTCCACCAGTTCGCAAATATGGCAGTAATCTCTATGATATCGATGCCCAATGTTTTTATCAACTTATGATAGTAAATACATTTGAATTTTTCATAAAATCTAAATAAAATATAAAACATATTATTTTACTTATGATTATTATTTGTAAAGCATTTGGGTTACGAAAGTTTTGCAGTTATCGGTTGGTCAGAGGGAGCAACCGCTGCCCTATGGATGGCCTGTAAATATCCGAAAGTGATAACCAAAATGATCATCAGTGGTGTCATAGCATATCCCGACACCAAAGTGTTGACTGAATTAAGAGCTATTGGATCAGTCAAACAATGGCCACGAAAACGATTGGATAACTATCGGAAAGCATATACCAGTGATGAGGAAATTGCAAAACTATGGGATAAACAACTTATGTTTTATGAACACATCCGCACATACTTTCCCAATGATGTCAATGAAGACAACTACCGTCACATTGATTTTCCAGTGCTTATCATACACGGAGATAAGGTATTGTAGCAAAAAAATAAATAAATATAGTATTAGTTATTTTATTTTTGTTTTGTTTTACATTTTACAAAATAAATTGTGGGTCAATTTTTTTTGTTGAAAAAAACATCACAATCATAAATATTATTTAATATTTTTTGTTTGTGTCATTTTATAAATTATTACAAAATTTAATTAGGACACCATTAGCACATTAGATCATTGCAATTATTTGCTCAAACGTATGGCCACTGCTTATCTGCACCGACTGTCCAACGGTGACCACGATCTCCATCAGCGATATTCAACTATTTATTGCCGACTTGTCGAGGATTTTCTACTAAATAAAAGTCCAAATATTGGTACGAAAAATGGCAATAATGAGGATGTTATCGGAGATTTCATGACATAATGTCTTAATTTTGTTGTTTTGTTGTATTAATAAAATATATTTTTCATAAATCTTTTTTGAATAAAAAAAAGATTTTACAAACTAATAGTAATATTTCAATTTTTTATAATATACAATTGTTATAAACAATTTTGAAATCAATTATTAACTCTAAATTGAAAATAAATTTCTTTTTAAAAATTAATAATAATTATAATAACAAAGAGTTAATTCAATGCTCGCAATTACAATTAAATTTTATTTAAAAAAATTTAATTATTTAGTATTAATTCATTAAATTTATCACATTAGTGATACATCATTATATAATTATATATAAAAAATTATTTTACTTTGTAGTAATATTTATACAATACTTAATACATAGCAGTTTATTAAATAACACATACAAATATTACTTTAAAAAGTTAATAAAAATTGATAGTTTTTTTTTGTTTATTTAATATTCGTAATATTTAAAAGCATTTTATAGTAATATAAATAAAGTTAATAAAAAAAATAAAACAAGAACTGTTGATTTATCATAGTTTAAAAAATAATTTTTATTTATTTAAATATTTTAAAAAATTATTATTTTATATTATTATTATTATTATTATTGCTTATGTAATTTAAGAGAAAAGCACAGTTATCTCCAAATAGTTAACCTTCACTTTATATTGAGTATTGTTAAACAAATGGCAACTCATTGTACATATAATAGTATATATGTTTGTTAAGAAACATAAAAATATTTATAGTTGTGTTAAGTTTTCTTTAATAAATTGTTTTTAGTTAAATTTTGTCTACAAAATTAATACAACCAATTTATATAATAATGAGCAGCCATTGCGTTGAATTAAATGATTGGCCCATTTGGTATGATATTTATGGTTCAGGTGACATACCGGTGCTATTGGTTCCCGGAGCTATTGGTATATGATTTAAAATTAAAGAAACTATTATTTCTACTAAAATTAAATCTATTATTTTGGTGTATATAATATATATATTAAGGCACCGGAAAAACAGATTTTTATGAACAATTAGAGGGCGACGACATACTGGACGATAAGCGCTTCACTATAATAGCCATAGAACTGCCGGGATGTGGCCGATCCCGACCACCAGCCCGACGGTACGGGACTATGGTATACGATATCGATTCCGAATGTATGCGACTACTAATGCAAGTATGTATTTACAGTATTACTGTATTATTAATAATACTATTTTTTTTTAAATATTTAATTAATTTTTTTTAACTTCAAAGTACTTGGGCTACGAAAAGTTTGTGGTCATTGCGTGGTCAGAGGGCGCGACCGCTGCCCTATGGATGGCCTGTAAATATCCGCAACTGATAACCAAAATGGTTATGTCGGGAATTATTGCATATCCCGATCACCGAACACTAGCGACGTTCAAAAAGTTAGGTAAAGTAGAAGACTGGCCGCAGTCGCGAATCAACATCTATTTGAGAGCATACGGTTCCCGTCAAGAGGTTCAACAATTGTGGGAAAAACGGATGACTTATTTCGAGCACATGAAAACATACTTTCCTACCGATCCACTCGCCGGCAAATACGATAAAATTAAGTTCCCGGTGCTTGTCATACAAGGAGATAAAGACCCGATCAGTCCGGTCGAGCACTCGGAACACATTCGCATTAATGTGAAGACATCTGTTGTCAAACGGTTCCCAAACGGTGGTCACGACTTTCATCAGCGATACTCACAGGTCTATAAACAATTGGTCGAAGAGTTCATCCTCAGTAATAAACCATTTCGTTTGGAAGCAAAAGTTAGTGAATCACCCAATGGATCAAATGAGACCAAAGTGCGTGATTGGCTTAAATAAACAAAATACACAAATAATATGAGTTTCTTAAAAAAAATTATAAGCTTGATAAATTATCAAATTAGTGAAACGAGTTTTTTTTAAAAAAAAGTAAAATTATACAATTATTATGTGTATTACTTAAATTTTTAACTCTTTAATACAATAATTTGAAAATTGATGTAACAATAACTTTAAAATATTGCAAAATAAATTGCTTGTGTGTTATAATAATAAATAATGCATATATAAAATTTATTTAATTGTATAATATTGTCTAAATGCTAAATGCATTACAATTATTGTATAATATTGTTATTAGTATTATAAATAAGGTTTTAATAGATTTGTAAATGAGATAATAGTTATGCGTTCCTTATTTTGTTGACATAATTATGTTAAAACTATTATAGCAATTATTGAAATAATTATTATTATATATAAATTATTAAAATATATACTGTTTTAGCCAATTAATACTAGTTATTAATTTCCTATTTTTAAAAGTGAAACTATTAAATGCTATTAACTTTTTTTAAAAAGTACTTTATAATACAATAGTGTATAGTATAAAACATATAGTATGGGATAAAGAGTCAAAAAATACTAATGAAAAAAAAAATCAATTTTCTTTTTCAATTGACATCATTAATAAATACTGTGTAATAAATAAAAACACAAACAACATGCCATTCAATTAAAATACATTAAGGCATAAATCAAAATATTGAAAATATATATTATAAATACCTGTATTATATATATATAATTTTTTAATTTATTTGATTGTATAGTGAGATAAACAATATTATTACAGCATTATAACACAGTTTCAGTGGGAAAACTTGATTTTTTTTCTACATCAATACAAATTTTTAATCGCAATAAAACTTTCCAAACTTTAAAATCCACTTTTTTCTAAATATCTAAATAAGTTTTATTTTTAATTATGATACAACCATTTACCAGTTATAGTGTAAATGAATAATAAAATGACATTAAAGTCAAGTTTTTATTAAATAATATTTTAATAATTTGATAATAATAATAATAAAATAATAATTATAATTATTTATTCAGTAGTAGCTTAGATGCTTAAGTTATTAAAAATATTTTGCTTTTATTTTTTACATTTATAATTTGTTTTTCTATTCTTGAAATTATTGCTGAAACGTAAATTTGTAATAAAATTTTTTTTATATGCAACTTATTATCAATAATTTCCAATAAGAAATTTATTAGTAATTTCATATTTCTAAAAATTCAATTAATATTTAATGTTAATTATTTGTTAGTTTGTTTAAACAATTGATATTAAAATAATTAAAATAAATAAACAAATTAATAATTAATAAATAAATAATGACTAGTGATTTTGTACAAATTAATGACTGGCCAATTTGGTACGACAAGTATGGTACCGGTCCACAACCATTACTTATGATACCTGGAGGGATAGGTATGTTTATTATATACTAAAGTGAAATTTATAAAAATGTATATTATGTTTGCTATGAAGGAACCGGTCAAACAGATTTTTATGAACAACTAGAAGGCGACGATATACTAGACTTCGATCAGTTAACTATAATAGCTGTAGAACCGCCTGGTTATGGACGTTCCCGACCACCTAATAGACGATACGATAGCAATGTCTACGATACTGATGCCGAATGTTGCTATCAGCTCATGAAAGTAAGTGATATTATTATTATTTTTTAAAAATACTAATTTAAATACAAGTATTTTAAATGCAATGTTCAGAAAATACTTTAATTTTATAAAATAGTTTTTTATTTAATTTTATAAATATTATGTAATTTATAAGCACTTAGGATTTGATACATTTCACGTAATTGGTTGGTCAGATGGCGCGAGATCGGCAATCACACTGGTCTGCAAATATCCCGAAGCGGTTACAAAGCTGGTGGTGACCAATATATTTGCTTTTGCCGATAATAAGACACTGTCTGTATTGAAATCTAATCAAACGGTGGATCGTTGGCACCAGGATCGCGTCAAATGTTATTTGCGGTCCTATAAGGATACAGTAGAGATTCAGCGAATGTGGGACAGACAGATCAGATTCATGGAACATATGCGCACATACCTACCCAACGATCCCAATGAAGAAAAATATAAATCGATAAAATGTCCCGTTTTGGTCATACAGGGAGATAAAGTAAGTGCTATTTTATTATTTATTTTTTTTTGGTTAAGTAGTTTTTTATACATCGATATGATTGATAGGACCATATAACTAGTGCCGAGCACTCGGAGTATATTATGAAAAGGGTGTCGACCGCTGAGTTGCACCGGTTTGCCAATGGTAGCCATGACTTACATCAGCGATATTCGGCAACATTCAAGAAAGTGGTCGAAGATTTCCTATTGCACGGCATATTAAGTCAACCGACCCGTAAACGCGAATATAAATATATACCACATAAGTCTATTAAATAATAATAATAATAATACTTAAAGATTATTATTATTATTAAAATATTTGATAAGTTGAAATTTGAAGTTGAATGTACCTAGTATATAATTTATTATACTGTATAATACACATAGTGTTTTGAATTATAATTATATATATTTAGCTCAAATAATTATTGTAATTTATAATATTTTCGCAATTTTTTCTAAATATTTAATTGAATCAATTGTTATTGAGTACAATACTGTTTATATTAATACGGTAATCATAATAATAATAATAATCATTATTAATATTATTATTATTGTTAATACTTCAAAACATTATTGAAAAAATATTAATAATTTTATTTTTTTTCAAGATTTTCCTTTTATTAGTTGACAGCATTATTAATATTTATAATTTATTTTATTTTGCAATTTTATTTTTTAGTAATATTTAGTGTAAGCAAAACATTATTTTTTTAAACAATCAAATCATTATCTATTTAGATATTTAAAAAAATACAGAATATTTTTAAAAATATGACATCATATATAAATAAAATAATTTTATTCTTGATTATCAAAAAATATGAAATCTAGTTTTATACTAAAGAAATATAATTAAAATTATAATTTTATAATAATATTAATCTAATAATTTTTTTTGAGATAAAGTTATTTATATCTTTCATAATAATTTAATAATATAATATGATACTAATATATTTATATTTAGAATGATAAATAAATTTAATTATCAAATATGTAATTATCAAAACTTTTATTATAATAATATTAATAAAAAAAAGTAAAATGATTAAATAAATAAATAATAAATATAAGAAAATATGTCATTTAGTGATAACATTGTCGGCACTGATATTTATTTGATGACTTAATTGGACAGAAAGCCTTTTATGAAGATTTTTATTGCCATTGAAGTTATGGACAGCCCTTTGAGTTATCCGATGCTCTTCGAGGAACAGCTCAATAAACGACTCGTACGCTTTGCAATGCTTGGGCTTTGTGTTGAGCTCATGGATGTCGTGCTGTCGCGACATTCCCCACACGTAATAGTCGCCCGATTCGGACAATGCGGCCGAAAATGGGTACGAGTTGTCCGACTCGATGTCCACAAAGCGCTCCGAATGATTGAGTCTTATCGGTAAATATTGTTCCGTGGTTTTAGTAGTCTGTCCCAATTCGCCGCATTCATTGCACCCGAAAGTATAGATATAGCCCTCCCGTGAGAGCAGCAAATTATGATCAAAACCGGTGCTGATTTTTGCCACTTTAAGCCCCATAACAATAACAGGTGTAGGCTTTCTAATTGCCGGTACTTTACCGATACCCAGTTGGCCACAATCATTGCTTCCCCAACTGTATACGTGGCCAGACTCTGTTAGTGCAAGTGAATGGAAAGCACCCGACGATATGCTGACCACTCGTTCGCCATCAAAAGCGTCCAATAACTTTGGTTTTAAACTGATAGACTTGCTGTCAATTCCGGACGCCATCTGACACAATGTATTGTCACCAAATTGATATACCCGTCCCTCACAGGTCAGTGCCAGTGTGTGCCAGAATCCGGTGCTAATGTCGACAACAAACTCGTGTTTCAAATACTTATTGAGTTTCGGTTTGTGTAGACTATCGTTACGTCTGTTGTCACCAAAGACACCAAACTTGTTGTAACCCCAGGAGTAAACTTTGCCGTCGGCTGTGCGGCCAACACAGTGTTGGTATGAATACCGAAAGTCACATAAACTTATTTGACTTAACTTCTTGTTTAACACCAACTTATCGATAGGATTCTTGTGTCCCAAACCCAGAACACCGAAGAAGTTGCCGCCAAATGTATAGGTCTTGTCGTCGTTAGTGACAAGAAATGCGTTCATCTTATTGTTGATATCATTGAAGACAAACACTGTCTTCACATCTTTAAGTAAATCATTTGATGCGTTGAAAAACTTCTGAACGTCTGAACCTTTTGTTGAAATCTGTTTCACTGATGACATAATTTATTAACATTTCCAGTGGTTGTGATCTCAAGAGAAATAATTTTTTTTCTAAATTTGTTTCTCCTATTTATATGTCTTTTGAGAGAAAATAAGATAAATTTTTATTATTAAAAAATATATACCGAAAAGTATTGAAAACAATTACTGTATTATATTACATGTATTTTATTATATCAAATATTATAAAGATAACTATAAAAAAAAGTTTAATTAATTAATGACATTTGACGTCCAGATTTTTATATTATTATACTAACTATACACTACTACTATACATGTTTGGTTTATTACTATATCTTTATTATTATACAATACATATGATTTTATTTAATAAATATCTATATAATAGTATAACGTAAGTATAATACTGTATTTCGGTACTTAAAGCTTATGTTATATAACTACTGTACTATACTGTTATGTATTATTAATACAGTCAATACTAATTGTTATTAACTTAAGTATATTAAAGTAAATAATAATATGTAAATTTGTTTTAAACTATTTATTTATACTCTATCTATACAATAATATAAATATAAATATAGTGTACATGTATGGATATAATAATTTTTTTATTGACTATTTAAACAATTTTTACAAATATTATCTTAAATAAAATTTAGTAAAAAAAACAAACATAAATATTAATGACTGTATAAAATACAATGTGATGTAATTGAGTCCAGATTTATATCAGCGTCAGCTGAATGTTTAATAATTAAAAGTGTGAGACAAACAATACAAATATAATATAATAATAATAATAATATTTATTGTTTCCTATCGTCATTAACATTGAACTAAACTAAACTTGTTTTTTAATATAACGGATATCTTGTTTATTAGTTATAAAAATTTCCAACTATTGCATCAAATATTATACTGTATTTACAATGAAAAATTGTATTATCTTTATATAAAATAATGTAATTTAAGTATAATATGCAATAAATAATAAAACTATGTTTTTAAAAGTTATTTTAAGAAACAAAATAAAAATTTTCCAATACAAATTAATCCTGATACATTTCTATTAAAAATATATTTACTAAAAATATATTTACTTTTTTGTAATAACATAAGTACTAATAAAATTTAATAAATAGTTTATAATTACAGTAATTTTATTATGTCTAATAAAAAGTTAATTTTTTTTAATTAACTAACTAGCAAAAATAAAATAATTATATTTAGTTTTGTCTAATTAATGTATAATTAAATTATAGCTAAATCAGGTTTTATCTAAATATTTTCATTGATAAAACATTTAATTAAATGTTAAGATTATATTATATAATTTATAAATATTAATAATTGTTTCAAACATTTTTGTTGTTTTAATATCATGATGACTGATAATTATCATTTTTTTTATTATACTTATAACTCAATTAAAATTGATACTATCATATGATTGGCTTAAATTGAATTGAATTATTTTATAAACATAGTAACAGTCGGTGTAAAAAAAATATATTAAATTATTTTTCTAAACTTTTAATAAATAGTTTGTTATCAATGATTAAATAAAATCTTTATGATTTGTTTAATATCTTTTGTTAATATTGTTATCATTGTGTGTTTGACGGCATATACTTGGTTTCGCAACATTTAAAAAAAAATAATTTATTATAATAATACAATAAAATTTAGTATTTTGTAAACAATATTGTAAAAATCATCAAATGTTTATTGAATTAATTGTAAAAATTTTATAAACATATTGCAAAATATTGTAAAGGTATTACAGTATATCACACTAAATATACTACAAAACTGATTTCAAAACTTAATATCTTATAAATATCTTAATTATTATATATTTAAATTTATATTTTTGTTGTAATAAATATTAAAAATATAAATAATAATAATAATAAGTAATAATTTATAATATATTTTTATTTTTATTTAAGTATTTATAAAAGTTAATTATATTAAATACGATATAATGTAATAAATACTTTTTTTACATACAATAATGATGATATCTTTTAAAGTAACACTTTTAACTCAATCTAACCAATATTATTAAAAATTAAAAACTAAAAAAATAAGTTAATCTAACTAACTTAATAAGTTATAAACTGGCTATAAATACTTAATTAATAAAAAAAATGCTTAACAATGTTTTGTATATCACTTTCTTTGTTAAATATTAGCGATAAACTGAGATATTTAACAAACTATTGATTACTAATTGACAGTAATTTATATTAAATATTAAAATGACAATAAAGTATGATATAAACTATTACAGAAAATTAAAACCCCTTAATAATTGATAGTTACACAAAATTAAATACAAAATATGTTTTAATAATAACTTTAATAATAATACTAATTTTAATAAACAACATGTTCTTAAAAATACTTCAAATAAAATAGTCATTTAAATAATTTTAAAACATTAAAATTAGTTTTATTATTTATAAAATTAGGTAAAAGATTATAAAATTTTATGATATAATTAATAATGATATTAAGATATTGCCTTAAAAAATATGCACAAATTAGGTGAAATGATATTTAATAAAAATTAATTTAATCTAATTTTAATAAATTTTTACAAAAACAATATCTTTGTGCTTCAGCAGAGGTTATACACGTCGATTGATTGCCATATTTGTTAATACGTGAAACTTCACCGATTAATGTCATTTTATTGCTATTTTGGTTGACATTAACTGTTGCCTCAAACAAGGCATCACTCGGTTTAACCGAAACCGTAACCAATATATTGTGAGACATATTATTATTGATCAACTTTTTCATGTTTTGTTTATTTTTCCTATTTTTCTTATTAACATTTTGTTGATATTCAATAACTTTTTCCGAAAACTTTATCCGATATGCACTGATCGTACGGTTTAGGGATAGTTTAGCACACATTTGGCTAAAGTTTTTGCTCAAATATTGGTTAACACTGTTGACAATAAACTGTGCGACCGGTTGGACGTCCTTAAGATTGTCAATCGGTTGACTTGACTGACACGAACACCAGTGCTCGAGAATAGGAATACTACTGCAGGTCCTGTTCTCAGGTATTTCCCATAATAACGACTTTCCGTGTTTCAGACTGTTGTCCGGTTGTCCATTGACTATGTGTTTGAGTGTGGCGTGTATATCAAATGGTGTAACCAATCGGTGCTTATTGAGTGTCCAGTTTTCCGATCGATATCTATCGGGCACATGTATGTGCATCATAGGCATACGTTCTTCCCATTTTCCTGACTGGGTTTCCCTGATTTTGCCGAACCGTATGCCGTGATCTGAGAAAAATATGAGTATTGTATTGGACAATAGGTTTTCGTCAAACAATTTTCTAAATAACCGGTAAACCAATGGGTCGGCCAAACCGGCATTATTGAACACATCGTGTGTGAGTCGGGCCAGAAAAGTGAATGCAAAGTATCGTTGTTTTCGGACAGTCATTGCTTTTACAAAATCATAAATGTAATCATAGTATGTCTATATTTTTATAATTATTAAATGTATAAATTATTTTTTTTTAAACTAAAAGATAACTAAATAAATAATTTACCTCTACTTCTGATTTATCAAAATAACAATAGTTGCGAATATTTGACTCAATGGCCAAACTAAAGGGCCGTAAATAGTAATCGGTTGGCGGTTTGAGAAACCCTTTTCGCAAATAATTAAACATTTGATACTTCGGTAAGTCTTCTATAAACAATGTATTGTAACTTTTATTTCTATACTCCTATAGTTAATAAATAATGTATTTATATATTTCTACATTTATTTAATTGAAATTTTTTTTCTATTTTTATCTTTTTTAAAAATAACATACTTTCCAAATAAACGGATAATAATCAAAGTAACTTAATTTGTTTTTAATTATTTCGCTTATGTATTTGCCAGTTAACAGTGGCATCAAATTGGGAAACGTATTGTCGGCCACTTTATTATAGCCATACAATGTATAGAAATTGTGTTTCGTTAACAACGGTTTAGTTTTAGGGAAATGTCTCTCAAAGTTGATCCGCGAAATAGAGTCTAAGCCAACAAATAAAATATTTGGCATTTGTTTTGTATTATCTGTTATATTGAGGTCCGGTATCAATGCAATAACTTTACTGTAAATTTTATTATGCCCTTAAAATGTATAATATTTCTAAATAATTAATGAAAATTTCTGATATATATAATAATAATAATAATTACATTTATCCACATAACAGGTAACATTAATAAGGCTAACATTAATGGGAAAATATGTAACATCATTGACACCAATGGAAACGGTAGGCGTATATACCAGTGCTTTGTCTTTATTGTCTTTTCGTTGAATTACACTATAAAAACACTTAATACTATTAGTAGACTTATTGGTAATCCTAACGCCTGAAAAATTAAATCTTTCAATAGTTATGACATAGTTTTGACGTTTTGCACAGTTGATAGATTTTTTAGTCATATTTTCATATAGTGGCCAAATCTGGTCATCAAATACCGGTCCCTTAACTATCCGACAAACCGGTGTATTGACCAAATAAGCGCTATTATTGCTATTAGTATTATTATTATTATTATATAAGTTTGTGGTGACTTTATTTTTATCTATACATAAAAAAAATTAAAACAATTTTTATAATTTGTAATAAAGTAGGGCTTAATTTTATAATATATAGTTATAAATTTATATTATAAGGAATTTACCAAAAAACTGATTTATACCTACAAATAGTGACGTAAAATACTTACAGAGAAAAGCCATATAAATGCTATTTTTATCTAACAATAAATAAATTAACTCTCGTTTAGTATTATCATAAAATCTTATAAATTCATTACTTAATTAATTGAAATATTAAATACTTTATGATATATTTTTATTTAAAAAATACAAATATAAATAAAATATTATTTTTACAATATTAATGAATAAAAAATATAGTATATATTTAAATAAAAATATTTAGATTAAATTTAAATAAACTAATTGTTATTATTAATTAAACAATAAATGTATAAAATTAAAAAAAAATAATACACGGTATATAAAAAAATGGAAATATTCATTATATTAATTTTTTCTCTATAAATAACAAATCAAAATAAAATTAAGAAAACAAATAATATATTAAACAATTTTTTTACTGATAAAAAATCACCATAAATATTTTACTAAATAATAAATTTTACAACAAATAAATATTAATTTAATCTATATATTTTTTTATATATTATAATTTACAAAATTTTAAATTTAGTTTAATATAATCTAAAATTAGTATTAATACTGTATATGATTACCTGTAGATGATTGAAATGAATTCAATTTGTAGAGTTCATGTCTATAATAATATGTTGAATGTGTGACACATAATAGCCATATAACCGATGCAAATGTGCCTAATTGTAGGACTCTTACAAAATATACATTTGATTTCATTATTTGATTTGAAAATTTCTAAGATTTTTTATTCCACAATTTTTTTAAAAATAATATATAATACTAAATATAATATAAAATACATTTAACACATTAATTAATATAATATTTAGTTGTCAAGCAAATTGTCAGGTAATATAAAAAATTGACCCCTTTATCTATAGCATAATAAATTTACAAAACAACACAAGCCATAGAAAAATTTATTATCATTAAAACACACACGTATTTTAGATACAATGTCAATGATTTATATGACATATACATAGTTTATGATATATTAATAAAATATTATTTACAAATAATGTCTTATTGATTACTGTATATATTGAAAGCTATGTAAATTTATTAATTTATTTATTAATTTTTTATTATAACAGAATATACATGTATATAGTAAATCAATTAATTTTTTTATACTGTAAATCACGAGATTCACACAAATTTTACTTATTGTTTTATTGTATTTATTGTAATGGATAATTTAATAGATACCCATTAAGAAAAATTATAAGATTAATTAAACTATGTACATTGCTTATTATTATTATTTTTTAAAAATACTGTACTATTGTATTTGCCATTGATCATTTTAATAAAATTTTTTAAAAGTATTATAATTAATATTATTGAATGATTATTACTATAAATACAGTATACACTAAATATTGATATATTAATACTACTCTCATTTGATGTTTTAAAAAGCAGTTTTAAATTAAGACTATTTTATATAGATACTGGGTTATTTTTAAAAAAAACCAATCACTTTATCAAATATTAATAATAAAAAAATGTTGTTAAAATAAATTAAAATAAATTAATAAAATTTATTAATTAACATAAATCTATACAGTAAATAACTTAACAATTAATTATCACAAAAATATATATCAATTTCAATGTAAATGATTTTTACAAAAGCAATATCTCTTGGCCTGTGTGTTGTCAATACAATTGGATTGATCGCCATATTTGTTAATACGTGAAATTTCACCGATTAGTGTCATATTATCTTTATTTTGATTGACATTAACTGTTGCCTCAAACAAGGCATCACTCGGTTTAACCGAAACCGTAACCAATATATTGCGTGAGTTTTCAACAAACTTTTCATCATTGAATACCACATGTCTATTGTTAACATCGTTTAGACTGTCCTTGAATTGCATCACTTTTTCGGAAAACTTGATGGCATAGCCACTGATAACCCGATCCAGAGTCAGTTCAATGCAGTTATTGCTGAAGTTTTGTGACAAATACTTGTTAACACTTTCAACTACAAACTGTGCCAACGGTTCAATGGATGAGAGATTAGTTATGGGATCACTGGACTGACACGAACACCAGTGCTCCAAAACAGGAATACTACTACAGGTCCTGTTTTCAGGTATTTCCCACAACAACGACTTTCCGTGTTTCAGACTGTTGTCCGGTTGTCCATTGATTATATGTTTGAGTGTTGCGTGAATATCAAACGGTGTGATCAATCGGTGCTTATTGAGTGTCCAGTTGTCTGATTTCCAAGTGTCGGGCACATACACCTGCATCAATGGCATCCGTTCCTCCCATTTTCCAGATAATGTTTCCCTGATTTTGCCAAACCGTATGCCGTGATCTGAGAAAAATATGAGTATTGTATTTGACAGCAGGTTTTCGTCAAACAATTTGCTAAATAACCGGTAAACCAATGGGTCGGCCAAACCGGCATTATTTAGTAAATCGTGTGTAAGTCGGGCCATAAATGTAAACGCAAAGTACCGTTGTTTTCGGACAGTCATTGCTTTTACAAAATCGTAAACATAATCATAATATACCTAATATTTTTAATTAAAAAAAATTATTAAGTAATTAAATGCAATAATCGCATATTTATAGTAATATTACTTCAATTTCAGGTTTATCTAAATAACAATTGTTTTCAATATTATCTTCAATTGCCAAACTAAAGGGTCGTAAATAATAATTAGTTGGCGGTTCCCGAAAACCAAGTCTAAAAAAGTTGAATGTCGCCAATCTAGGGTAGTCCTCTATTAGCAATGTATTATAGCTTTTATTTCTATACTCCTAAATAATATGTGATATTATGCTGATTATTATACTATAATACAGATATAAATAGATAGATTTTATCATATTTGTGTTTTTTGTGGTTAATTTATTATGTTATAGAAAATAATAATAATTACTTTGAAAACTAATGGGAAAAAATCAAGGAAAGTTGTTTTGGCCATTCCCTCGTTCCACAGGTCATCCAGGTATTGGCCGGTCAACAGTGGTGTCAAATTGGGAAAAGTATTGTCAGCCACTTTATTATAGCCATACAGTGTATAAAACTTGTGTTTTGCTAACAACGGTATTGTTTTTGGATAGTGTCGCTCAAAGTTAACCCTGCTCAGGGAGTCTATGCCAATAAATAAAAGATTGGGCAAATTTTTAGGCAAATTTGTGTTTTCATTTATATTGAGATCCGGTATTAAAGCTATGACTTTGCTGTAACTTTCGTTGTGTGCTTTTTTTAAAAAAGAAAAATTATTAATATTAATAATATTAATAATTATATCTAGCATTAATTAGGATAAAAATACTAAAACAATTTTCAATGAGATTTATAATCAATGATAAAAAAATAATAATGTCCTTATAAAATGCTATTATAAGTACTGTACAATACAAATACAATATTATATGTTATAAAATATATAAAAGTGTATTATATAACAAATATTGATATCTGTTTATTTTCAACTAACTTTTATCTAGAAAACAGGTAACGTTGACAGTGCTAACATTGCTGGCAAAATAGGTAACATCATTGACACGGATAGGTAAGGGAGGCGTATAGTCGATGGCTTCGTCTTTGTTATCTTTGCGACGGATTTCACTATAATAACAATCAATACTGTTATCTGATTTGTCGGTAATCCTGATTCCCGAGAAATTGTATCTTTCAATAGTAATACCAAAGTTATCATGTTTTGCACAATTAAATGTTTTTTCGCTCATATTTTCATACAGTGGCCAAACCTCGTCATCAAATACCGGTCCTCTGATTATCCGACACACCGGTGTATTGACTAAATAAGCGCTATTACTATTGTTGTTATTGTTTTTTGATAATGTTTTGCTATTTTTATTGACATCTAAGTGTAAAATTTTTAAATGATTCATTAATACATATGTTTAATTTTTATTTTATTTTTTAAAATTTTTAAAGTGTAAATAGATTTTCAGAAATTGTATATTATTTTTAATAATTAATTTGCATAAAATCATAGATATTATAAATCTATCATAAATATATTGTATAGTAACATAATTCATTTTATTTTATAGTTAAAATATTTTACTATATAAACTATATAAAATTCATAATAATTTAACATTGGTCTTATTTGTATAATGATAGCATTGGTACAATTTAATTTATAGATAGGTTTCATTTTTTTATGATAAAACATTTTAATAAACTATATTATAAAAATATTTAAGCGATAATATTAATAAATATTGCACTCATTGGGTATTATTTTTGTAATTTTGTTTAATTTATATTAAAAACAATTATAAAAGCAATTGAGATCATTAATATATTTTGATAACTTTATTTGAACAATTATTTATATTAATATTATGTTAATATTTTTAGCGATAACTATAATATTAAATTTAGTTATTATAATTGATTAAACATTAAATAAGTGCTTTGTATAAATTATTTTTTATAATAGATTTATTATATAATCTAATAAATAATTGTAACTTAAATTTTACTTATAGTATGATATTATTCATTCATATTAAGGCATTCATAATATATTTATTTTGTAAATATTGATTTAAAACATCTTAAAATATTAAATATTAAATAAATATTTTTTTAAAAATAAATAAAGCTTTATTAAATAATTTTTAACACTGTGTATAATTAGATTAAATATTTATTACTAAATAATTTTTAAAACAATATATTAATGATATTTTATAATAAAAATATAAGTAAATTAAAAGTACAGCTAATTAATGTTTAGTAAATAAATTCTTAGAAATATAAATATTTATTTAATTGTTAAAAATCTGATATAATATTAAAAAATTAATTTGTTTGCAATTACACTAATAGTTATAAATTAAAAAAAATAATTTATATAATTAAGACATAACTTGCCATAAATATATTCATAATTGGATCCATTTTTATTATAATAAGTTGTATGCGTAACACATAATAGCCATATAACTGATGCAAAGGTAGCAAACTGTAGGACACGAACCAAATATCTATTTTGTTTCATTTGTGTCTCAAAATAAAATAACAATTTTTAAATAATAACAAAAATATTTATAATTTTAATTTATATATTTTCAGGAAGAATCCCAAAAAAAACAAATTAATTATTAATAATATTTTAGATAATAATTATTTTTTAAAAAACTTTAATTGTCACCATATTGTAAAGTAAATAGACACATATAAAGTACTTGTTATTATCAACTAATAAATTTATAAAATGTTGCATTTTTTTAAAAAACAATATTGTAAGTGGAGGTAGATTTCAGTAGTTTAATATTATTAAATAGTAGTGAATCATATTTTATATTTATGATACTATAAGTTCATAATCTGGTGCATCCATTAAAATCATTATTTTTTTATAATAATAATACTGTTATATAAAAAATAAAGTATATTTATATCTCTGATTAGAGAAAGTGTATTGTAGTTAATATTTTATTATAAAATATAGAATAAAACGAAATGAATAGTTTTTATATGTACTGTAAAAATAATATACCATATATATAATATATAATAATATATATATTTATATACATATAAACTGTAGTATAATTAGCATTACTATGTACTAACAAATTTATCACTTATTTGTTTTATCAGATAATACTGCATTTGTAACTCATAAACATAGTTATAAATTTATTTACTAATAGTTAAGTCTTATTTATAGTAAGTTAAACAAATAGTGTAAAAAAGACTAAAAAGATGAAACTTATTTTACAAATTAAAAAACTTATGTATTAATATTTTATTATAATTGTATACACAATCTTATAATTATCAATTGCAAGTATAATACTCAGTATATTTCAAATAACTTTACATTAATATGTTTAACATTTAAAATTAAAATATTATATAATTTATTTTGTAAATAATAAATAATTTAAATAAATATTATAATTTAATAAAACAATTATTTTACATTTTTAACTATTATTAATTTTATTATAATGATTATTGGTATTATTGATTAACAGTATTATTATTTTTATATGTTTTATTTTGATTTTTTAAAGCAAAACAGTTCACTAAGAAAACAAACAACTGATAATAGACTGCCTGTAAATAATGTAATGTATGTAATATTAAAATGACCCAGGTTCAATGTTTCAAATACAATTGCAACTTCATTATCATTATCTAGATTATTGACAATTGTATTATTTATTTTGTTTGTTCCCAATCTAATTGTATTAAATTTATTATAAAATTTAATTTCCTGTGATCTAAAATGCAAGTAAAAGCCATAATAGTAAAGTGCCTTGATCCTATTGAATAAAATGATAATTATTTATTTTATTATTAGATATTAATTTTTAACAATTGTTTGGTCTTAAATGAAATCATATTATTATTTAAATTTATAATTTTTGTTTTTAATAACTAATGTATGTATACTTACAAATTGATAACTTTGTTGCTAACGACAGGTGTCAATGTTTTTCTCAATATATAACTTTCAAAATAGTTATTACTGTTTAATGATGTTTTCATTACACTGTATTCATGATAATAATTGTATAGATTTTCAATACTCTCGTAGGTATTGATTAAAACTTTTTTGTGATCCAATAATAATAGTATTGTTTCCAAAATGAAAAAATCGTTAAATTTTATCGTATGAAACCTGCTTTTCGATAAATGATATTCCTATAAATTGCAAAATTAATTATAAAATACTGTAGTATTTTTAAAAAAAAATATTTAATAATTTATTACATTTCTAAGTGTTTGATGTGAATGTGAATTTTTAATAGTTATGATATTAATCTGATTTTCGCCAATTAATTGTTCAATAGTTTCAATTTTATGCAATTTTTTCGATACCATTGATGAGTACATATTGTTTTGAATTATACTCATCAATGTGAGCGATGATAACATAAGTAATATTATAAGATTTTTGCGATAATAACTTTGAATATTGACAACTAAGTATAATATGAAGTATTCAAATAAGTATTGCATATAATTTATATATGATATAAATATGTAATCAAATAAAATAATTTATATAAATGTTTAATTATTTTTTTTAAAAAAGCTTACCTCTGCCTAAAAACATAATGAAATAATCAATTGATAAAAATAATTTTTGTTTCCAATTGTTTATATAAGTAAAATTAATTAAAATTATGATAATATAAGAAAATACAATTAGCATCCAGATAAATTGATCAAAACAATTTAGCAAATTCAATAAATTGTGACTTGATTCATAGGTAGGACAGTTTAATATGGCTAATATTGAGCCCCTGGGCATCAAAAATACATAGTTTAAGACATTATAACGATCTTCATTTAATTTAAATGGTACCATAAAAAAGTCAGCCATCTTTAATGAAATTATTTTTTAAAAAATAATTAATAAATCTTTTAAATTATATATATATTTTTTAATAGTTTACTCATTACGTTATTTTTTATAAGTCCCACAGCACCTGACCATGAACCATTTCTAAGTAATTTACCACCCTGGTTAGAATCTGATACAATCAATGCTAAACTGGTTATAAATATTCAAAATAAAGTTTATCATTTTATTAATTGATATTTTATATAATTTTATTAATATAACATTACCTGAGTTTAAGATTATCCTTTAATATGTAATAAATTTTAGAAAATGTTTGGCAAAATATTATCATATTTGTTGTTTGATTTAACACCTAATTAATTTATTATAACAATAAACATTTTTATAAAATATTAAATAATTTATTTACAAAAATAATAATAATATTAACCTCATCAGGATAAATGCCAATTACCAAATCAAACGTTGTATTATTTGTATAATACTTATACAATGAACTTTCAATACAAAATTCCATATATAATAGTAATGATTACAGATATATAAATATTAATATATTGATAATTTTATTTAAACTATATAAATGTGACAAAATTAATAAAAAACTGTCTGCAATAATAGTTTTATAATTTAAACAAAAATTTGTTTTGAATTTTATTTATTTCATAGTTTATAAAAACATTGTAATATACTAAAAATCTATTTATTTTAATTATAACATTGAACAATATAATTGTAGTAATTTTATGTTTAAATTATTGGGTAGTATTACAATCAACATAATATATACAAGTCATGAAATTAATTATTTTTCAAATGCTGTTTGATATTAATATAATGTTTAGTAAAATACTATATATACTGTACATTATTTCTATAAAATAAACTACATATTGTTTTTTATTTTGTAAGGTAACATAATAACATAAATTATAATATCAGATAATTTACAATAGATATTTATAGAGATTAATAATTATTTACATTTTATATATTGATATCTATTGAAATAATAATTATATATTATATGAAAATATTTATATACTGTATATTTGGTAATATATTATTATTTTATATCCAAGTTTATTTTATTCTTATAATATGTTTAACATAAATAATAATTATTATAAAAACAAAAATATCAATTTTTTTATACAATAGAGTTGATAAATATTATATCGTATAACTAAAACTTAATATTTCATATATTTAAAATAAACAATTTTAAAATAATGAGAGTTTAATAAAATAAAAAATAATCTGTATTATTATATACCTAGTATATATATTTTTAATTAAGATATCAATAATAATAATAATAATAATAATCTTTATTTAGCATAAAAAAATAAACATAAATTGTAATTAATTTTATTAAAATAATCGTTACAATGCATTGAGAGACCCGCCGTCGGACACAAAATTAATTCCCGTCACAAACGAGGCCTCATTTGACGATAAAAATAGTACAGCATTTGCGATGTCTATCGATTCACCGACTCTTCCGATCGGATATTTTTCTCCGTATTTATCATAAAACTCGTCCGCCTGTTGAGCAGTCAAATGATCGGCCACTCGATGAAAGTTTGTCCTCACAAGAGCCGGACTATTGATTTAATGATAAATTAGTTAAACAATTAACTGAATAATATTATGTATTAAATAATATATAATTTATTATTTACTTAATGATGTTAACTCTAATGCCTTTTGGTCCCAATTCAATTGCCAAACACTTACTAAACATATCAAGTGCTGACTTTGCCGTACAATACAATAGATTTCCCACTAACTATATGTTATATAAATTGATTTTTATTAATATTTTAATAAAATTAAAAACAATTTATTAAGTAATTAAATAAAAAACACAATCATATAATACAAACCGGTTTAATGCCGGCAACGCTTGAAATGTTAATTATATTGCCTTTAGTTTTCTCCAAATGTTCGACACATAAGTGACACAAATAGATAACTGCTTTCAGATTAGTATTCAGCACTTTATCATAAATATCAAGAATATCTGTATTAGTAATTTGGGATCGGATGGCAAACCCGGCGTTATTGACTAATATGTCTAACTGTTTGTATGCCGTAATAGTTTCAGCAACAAGTCTGCGACAGTCATCCTCTTTGTTGATGTCGGCCACCACTACCAGAGGTGTTAGACCAGTGGGTGAAACCTGTTGACAATCTTTGGCTACTTTTGCCAGATTTTCGGCATTTCTACCGGTAATCACTACACGAGCGCCAGCTCTGGCAAACTCAATGGCAGTGACGGCACCCATACCACTGCTGGAACCGGTAATCAATACAACTTTGTCGCTAAAATTAAACACAGTCTTAGACATTATTAAAATTATTTTAAACAATATTAATATACAATTACAATAATATAATATTCAGTAACTAATAAATATTACTAACTAAAGTATTAATAAATATTTCAATTAAAAAATACAGTAAATAAATAACTTATATATAGTATATTAATATCATTAAATATTTTGTCTAATCATTTGTCAAACATATCTATAATATAGCAAAATAATAATTAAGTATTTCAACTAAATAAGCACTAATGAAGGTCATATAAATACTATACTTTTATAATATAAAATTTATTTTGATATTTTTTTGTATTTTTTAAAAATCAGTTATATCAGAAATATTATATTTCAATAGATTCACAAATACAGTACATTTAATCTATAATACTGTACTGTTGGTGTTAGCAAAAATTTATAAAATAGTTTTGAGAAATTTATAAAATAATAGAGGAATTTCGAGAAAGTTTCTAAAAGTAATTTTCTATCTATGCGATTAAAGTAAAAATTTAATGACAAGATTAAGAACTATGATAAATAAAGTTATAATAAAAATGATGAATAAAATTTTACAATTTTATTATTATATAATTATAATAATTTTATATTTAGGTATCCCATTTTGTATAGTAATATATTATACCATAATATATAGCATAATATTATCTAACGTTATATAATAATAAATATGTATTATGTCTGATTAATATAGTATTACAATAGATATAAATATTGGGTATAACATTAAAGTTAAATTTCTATTATTTATACTTGAGAAATTTCAAGAAACTTTCTCAAGGAAATTTATTAGAAACTTTCTATTTGCCCATCTCTATGTACTGTACAAACAATTAAAGTTATATATATAATCATATATATTACAATTATACAATCTATAATCTATTTATATACATTGAATATTTAATTAATACTGTAAATGCACAATATAATTGTTTTTTAATTCATAGCTAATATTTTATATTTAAAAAAAATTGTTTAATCCGATAATATTTTGACTGATAAATGAATATAGTTTTAGAAACTAATTAATAATTAGCAATCTTTTTTGTTAAACTTAAATTTTTATATTTATTTTATAATTTTTAAAAGTATGGCATTAAACATAATTACATAATTGTATCATATGTTTTATTGAAAATACAAAAATTAATACTTTTATTTTAAATAATTTAATACAAAAACATAAGTAATTATTTGAACCAGCTAAATTTTAGATTTTTTTTGAAAAATTTAGTTTATCGACCTGTAAATTAATTTTAGTCAAAACAAGTGTTTTTTTAAAAAAAATGCTTAGGTATTAGTCTGTTAGTTTTGTGGGACAAATATGGTTTTATAAGCAAATTATTAATCAGACATAATCTCTATTTTATTTTTTGAAAATTATCTAAATATAAGCATTAATTTTATAAAATAATTTATATAAAAAAGAATAAAAAACTATTTATAAAAATTTTTAGTCATTTAGAGTTTTATTTATTATTTTTCTGACTATTCTCTGGTGCGGGTATTACGTCCTAACCGACCGCACTCAGGAAAAATGGTTTCCATAAAATTGTTATCATTAGTGGCTATTGTCTCCATTATAATCGGTTTGTTAGCAAATTAATTAAAATATTTTATTGTTAATCAAATAAATCATTACTTAATTAATTAATTAAATATAGAGATTACATATTGTGATGTCGATGGCGTTGTCGTCGATAATGTGGTCGAAGCGCCAAAACCTCTCGGAGATCAAACACCGGCAGCAATAGTGTCGGACAAAACATTGGACAATGAATTGGACAATGAATTGGACACAATGAATTGGACAGTAGTGTGGATGATAAGAGAGTACATAAGCATCATTCACACTCATCGCCTAAAAAGCATCACAATTCAGTGAAACGTCGACCCAATTCACAGGCACATCACGTCCCTAAACACACCGGTACTGGACATCACGTAACGCATGCAAATGCAGCGCATGTACCGCAACGTGTTGGACATTCCGGACACGTAAACAAAGCACCAAAGCGTAAGGGCGGTCAACGTCCGGTTCGTCGGCGACGACCTCAGACACATAACCGTCCGTCTGGTGTAAAGAGAAAAAGACCGCAAACTTCTGCATCGGGACATCAAAGTCATCCAAAAGTCAGTAAAAAGAAGAGAATTATTCGTAAAAAAGGTATTTATTTTTCCCAACAAATATAATCTTTTTTTTGTTAAATATTTTTCTATATATATATATATTTATAACGTTTTAGGTCACGGATCAGCTCCAGTTAAGCGCAGACATCGTAAAAGAAAGCAAACAGTTGTCGGACAACAACACCAAAAGCCAATTCGAAACCCGAACCGAAAGTCAGACAATAAAAAAATTAAGAAAAAGCACAGAAGGAAACACCGAAAGTCACATCAAAAGCACGGAAGCTCTGGATCGTCATCACCACCGAAAAAGAAGAAAAAGAAGTCATGTGGCAGTAAATGTTGTAGTGGGGGATGTGGTGGTGGAGGAGGTGCAGCACCCGGACCATCAATGAATCAACAGCAACAAATAGCTCTTAATCTGTCACCTCCTGCATCACAACCAATGATGCTCTTACCTGGTGGTGGTGTAACAGGTGGAGCACCAGGTAATCAACCTACACCGCCAGGTGGTTCTACTACTCCCTCAGGAGGCGCAACTGGTGGAGCACCCGGACAAATGACGACTTCCAGTTCAGGTGCATCCACTACAACTGAATCCACTACCACCAGCAGTACTACAACTAGCACTACTACATCAACAACAACTACTACTACGACTACCACTACTACAACAACGATGGCATCCGGAGGAAAAAGAGCACATCCATCTTTGGAAGAGGATGAGGAATGGACTAAAGATGAACAATTGGGAAGAGATTATAAGGGAAAAGGAAAGGGATTTCTCATATAAAGGTTTTTAATAAAATAAAGTAATGGTGTACTGTATATATATACTGATATATTAACTTATGTTCAACTAATTAATTATTAATATTTTATTTGGAAAAAAAACAAATAAATATTAAATTTATTAAGCACTTGAATATATTAGGCAAATTGACTAAAAACTAAATATTTTCTAGTAATTATGAAACTAATTAACTAAATTTAACTAAATTATTTGAATGATAAAATTTTTGAAAATAATTATGAAATTAAAACTACAGCAAATAAATAGAATTTTTCACAGTCTTGACTTAGGTGTCATACAAACTAACCGTCTATTTGATTGTCTAATTTGACTTAACAAAATATAAAAAGTATAAAAAATATAATTATTTATTTTTTGTATTAATAAACTGTTACATTGAATAAAATTTTTATTTAAGTCTAAGATAAAAGTATAATAGTTTTACAATTTTTTTTGTTTATCTAAATATTGTTTAATGATAAATTTTAGACACATTTATACATTTTTTTTAAAGATTTTTATTAATTATTTATAGTTTAATATATTTAATTATTGTATTGTAAATTAAAATTATTTGTATTTATAAATCTTTAAGAACGATTAACATAATTTAAAAATTTTATCAATTTATTTAAATAATTACCATTAATTAAAATTTCAATTAGCAAAATAATTAATGAACAACTAAATATTACTATTAATGTTTTAAAAATAAAATAATAATGATTTAATCGTAACATTTTAAATCTACTTTCAGTATGGGTATTAAAAATATTGTTATTATCTTTTTTATTAGATATTTGATTATTAATATTTCTATATTGTATTTCATGATATAAATTATAAAATATTATTTGTTGTTTGAGAAATAATTGATGAAAACCAAATTCATTTAATGATATTATTCTAAAAAAATATAAACATATTTAATATTTTAAAAACAATAATAAATAATAACAATAATTTTACAATTTTTGTAATTTATTTTTGATTGGTTCCGCCAATGATCGTCTAATCGCATAACTGTCCCCATAATAGTTGTTACTTAATTGTGTAGTTTTCAGTGCATATTGTTTATAATAATCGTAAATACATTCAACATTTTCACTGGTACTGATCAATACATTTTTGTGATCCAATAATTTTGTTATTAGATTAACAGTGAAAAAATCGATATAACGTAATGTAGTAATTTTAGATTCATCTAAATGTTTCATCTATTGAATAGTTTTAATTAAACATTAAATATTTATAATAGATAATTGTTTTTTTTTAAATAAAATTATATATAATTCATACATTTTTTAGCACACGAAGCGAATATGAATCTTGTATGACATTTATTAACAGATCATTTTCATCTATCAATTGATCAATGGTTTCAATATTGTGCAACCGTTTGGATACCATCGATGAAAACATCGAGTTTTGAAAATATATCACTAGTATTGTCGATGAATATATCCATATAATAATCAATAATCTCCAATGACGTGACTTTTCAACAATAGCTGAATATATTAGTAAAATTATAAATTATGTATTAATCTATTAATATTATTATATTATTACAAATATTTATTGATTTACAATACCTCTGCCTAATAGTAGTACAAAATAATCGAATAATAAAAACATTTTTTGATACTTATTGTTAACTTTATAGCAATTAATTAATAATAGCGTTGCAAATACAGCAAACATGACAATCCATATAATTGTATTGAATGTGTTGATGATTGTCCCTATATTAGGATCACCCTCATAAGCGGGACAGTTGACTATTGAGACTAATGATTCCCTGAGAATAATAAATACATAATCCAATAGATGAGACCGTTTGGTTTCATATTTGAATGGTACCATAAAAAAGTCAGCTAGCTAAATAAAATAAATAAAAAAATAAATAAATACAACCAATTAATCAATGAACAGTTTTATATTGATAAATTTATATACTACCAACATTATTTTGAAAAAGTGCCATGGCACCATACCATGTACCATTAATTAATAGTCCTCCCATATCTTTATCAGCTATACTTACTTTTATTCTAAGTAAATAATTTTTAATTAAAAAAAATAAAAATTAGTTTAATTTACTAAAATTATAAATAAACTAAAATTATATACTTTAGTTTTAAATTATCATGTAACATATGGTAGATTTTAGTGTATCTTTGACAAAATACAATCACAGTTGCATTTATATGAATTACCTATTAATTAAAAAAATTATTTTTAATTTTGTAAATTTATTTCTAAAATTTTAAATAAAATCTTTAAACCTCTTGCGGATAGATTCCCAATAGTAAATCATTAGAATAATCGGTATTATTATCATTAATATCATTGTAACTGCTATTATATAGTTGACTTTCAACACAAAATTCATTTAATATCATAATTAATTAATTTTATAAAAATTACTCTAAAGATTTTTTCAAGTATAAAGTTTTATATTTGTAAGCAAAATATTTGTATAATCTACAAAAATTTTTTAATATCTTTTTAATATATAATAATATTTTATGTAAAATACATTTTTTTTAATTATTACAATATTAAAGATTGTTAGAACTTATATAAGTATATATTTGTTATGACATTTATTTGAATATAACATTTCTTATATGAATAATGAAAATGTTTTTTTGTGTATAAAATTTACTGAATAAAATATTAATATTTTATTTTTATTATTTATCAATATAATTTGCAAATTAATCATTTTTATTTAGTATATAGATTTATGTCATATAAAATGTTGTGAATATAATGGAAAATTACAATTAAATTTATACGACAATAGAAAATTATATTTTATATTATCATAATATATTATATTTTTTGAATAGTGACTTTTTTAATTTAAAACTATTTATTATAGTTATTTATCTAAGCTATAATAAATAATAGAAATATGTTGTATAATATAAATTATTTTTGTAAATTATATATCATTACTTATTAAATATAAAATAAACAGTTTATTAATAACAGAAAATAATAAAATACTAATTATAGTATTATGTATCAATATTTGAATTAAAAATACTACTTTATTGATTAATATTAATATAATAAAATTAATTAAGTTTAAAGAATGTTTTCTAGATCTATAAGGCGTTGTTCACATATTACGTTCGCACTTTTTAAGAAATCTAGACCCCCTCCCTCCCCTATGTTCGCAATTGTTCGAATGCAATCATTAAAAAAAAATTCCCTAACCGCTACCCCCCCATCATCCACAAGAAATAAAATATCTAAATGCGAACGTTCTTAGAGTCTCTACCCCTCCTCTCCCCTTCGTTCGCAAAAGTTCGCTTTGGCTAACCCCCCTCCCCTCAAGTGCGAACGTAATATGTGAACCACGCCTAATAACTTTAAAATAATAATTTACTTTTATTAAGATTTAGCCTAATTAACTAAGATTAAATAATATTTTACTTAAATTAAAACAGGAAATCATATAATCTTATTTTACTTCAAATTTATATGAAAATAATATAACTAAGTTAATGACTATTAATATTATAATACCGTAATACAAAAAATTTCTTTTTGTTTATATAGATATAAATTATATAAATATATATTATATAATAAGTATAACAATTTTTTTTAATTCATTTCTATTGAGATTTTCAAAATATTTACTTAAATAAACAAACGCTATAATTTAATGTCACATTTAGTAGATATTTATTTTTATATAAACTAAATGTACACTGATGATAAGTTAAAATTGATGATAATAATGATAACATTCATAATATTAATTTTTATTTTATGAATAGTGCAATTAATTAGTTAAATAATATAAATAAATAGTAATTGCAAAAATATTAAATAGCAATTTAATAGAAAAATTATTTCAAAATTCAAATTATGATTACTATTAATATAATTATTTTAATATATTGTTTGTTTTTATTGTTATGTCATCCCATAGACAGTTCCCTAACAATACAATGCTTTAATCGCGACGATTGTTTGGCTTTCTATAGCGGATCTGGTTTTGAATGCATTGATAGCCAATGCAAATGTATGCACGTATTAGAGGACAGTAAAGGTGGTAATGGTGTGAAAACCTGTTCCTCACAGTGTCTATACAACGATCAAAATTGCCAACAATTAGACAAACGTTTGGAGTGCGCTATCGGTGGCAATGATTGCCAGTGTAGTGACACCGGCTATAAAAAAGATCCACTAAATGGCAACAAATGTATTGAAGATGTCTATTATAGTGGATCCAAATATCATCAATGGTGTCGTACTAATAGTGACTGCAAAGATAGTGATATGGTATGTGTGGATGGCTATTGTCAATGTAAAAATGGATTCACTTATGATGACAGTAATAGAAAGTGTGTGTCTGTACCAGATTATTGTGTTGAGGGAACGTTATGTAGCACTTATGATAGAAATAGATTGTGTCATCAAGGTAACTGTACTTGTTCAAATAATTTTATGGTCGATAATTCTAATGGCTTGAAATGTATACCAACGATACCCGTTACTACTGAGTCAGGTGAAAACTTTTTTAATTTTTTATTTATAAATATTTTAATACAAATATTATAATTATGTAAATATTAGTTATATTTATATTTTAAAAGTTATAATACTCTTTTTTAAATTATAGTCATTTAATATGTAGTTTAATTTTATTAAAATAACTTTACAACTATTTGTTAATAATTGATATCAACTAAATGTAATAATAATTTGTTTAAATTAAAAACTTTTTTTATTTTTTTAGTATTAACAACAACAACAACAACACCTGAACCTCCAAAGAATATTAAAAACAATTTATCGATAATAATAATATCATCGATTGTCATATTCACAGTATCCATAGGAATAGCGTTGTATATTATGAATAATAGCAGTAAATTTACCAAAAACTTTGAAACAATTGAAAAATTAGGTATGGGTTCATTTGGGTTGGTCCTGAAAATTAAGGACAAACGGACTAAACAAGAATATGCTGTTAAGATAATTGAATTAATTGGTAAATATTATTTGTTTAGTTAAATTATATTCAATTTGATTATAATTATTATTTCAATAAAAAAAATCATATATAATATGATATAATCAGACGCAACAAAACTGCCAACAGATGCCAAATACGTAAAACTACAAACATAATTTAATTTCGTATCGCAAAAATATTGATATCATTAACTTTGAACTTTAATAACTTTTTTATTTTTTAACTTAAATAAACAAATTTGATATCAAATGAAAGAACACTTTTCAAAGTTTATAAGTCAATAAATAAAATTGCATTAATTATCATATTATCTATAAAAAAGCATAAGAAGTAAGAAATGGTAAAAAAAGTTATGTACAAAAAGTATTTTCGTGAAATCAAAACTTTAAATATTATTAACAAAATAAAGCTATTAATTTAGTAAAAACAATATTAATATCGAGTATTGCCTCCGTTGGCATCAATCACAGCCTGCAATCTTCTTGGAACACTTTGGATCAGCTTTTCTGTGACTTCTTCAGGTATATTTTTCCAGACATTAAATAACGACTCTTTAAACGCAGAAAAACTTTTTCTTTCGCTCTTTGGCACACGTCTGTCCAATTCATCCCATAGATGTTCAATAATATTGAGGTCAGGGCTCTGTGGCGGCCACTCAAGTGTCTCAATTTGATTGTCAGACAACCATTTCTTTGCCAATTTTGATGTGTGCTTTGGGTCGTTGTCCGCTTGAAATAAAAAATCATCGCTTATTTGTAGATCTCTGGCACTCTGAAGCAAATGTGGGGTCAAAATATCGTTAACGTAAATGTAGCGGTCCATAGTTGATGGAATTTCGACCAAATGGCCAACTCCCTGGCCTGTCATACACCCCCATACCATAACTGATTTCGAGTGCTTCACAGTTGGACATATATTATCAGGATTAATGCTTTCGCCTCTCTTTTTAAACACTCGTTGGCGACGTTTAGTACTAATAATCTCAAATTTTGACTCATCTGACCACAAGACCTTCCTCCAGTATGACATAGGCATCCGGATGTACTTTCGTGCAAAGTCTAATCGTTTTCTCTGATTTGTTAGGCTTATCATTGGACGTCTTCGCGCAATACCACTGTAATAACCCATTTCTTGAATCCGGTGTCTAATAGTGTTTCGGTGACACAAAATGTTTCTGGCGGCCAACTCTTCCTTAATCTCATCGGTGGTCAACTTCTTATTTTTTGCCACAATTCGACTCAATATCCTGTCCTGTTTAGCACTGGTACATCTTTTTCGACCACTTCTTGCGAGATTTCTAACTGTCCCGTACTTTTCGACTTTCTTTACAATTGATCGGACAGTATTATCAGTTGTTGTAAACAGTTCCGCTATTTTTGCGTATGACTTTCCGGTGCTGACTCTCATATCATACATTTGTTGGCGAATTGCATCTGAAAATTCTTGTATTTTAACCATTTTTATGATAATCACTGCATTTACTGTTTATTTACGTGTATTCAAATTAATAACAATGCATTGGAATCAATTGGTCCCAACAATGTGTCTGAAATCACGCGCGTTTTAAAAACACGAAAATAATTTTTGTACCTAAATTATTAACACCTATAACTTTACCTTGATATATTTTGTTATTTAAACCATTGTTTTGACCATCTAGTATATCAATTTAATTGTGATTTATTACTCTATTATTTGATATCAAATTTGTTTATTTAAGTTAAAAAATAAAAAAGTTATTAAAGTTTAAAGTTAATGATATCAATATTTTTACGATACGAAATTAGATTATGTTTTTAGTGTACATGAATGAGTTTAAAAATTCCGAGTTTGTAGTCAATTATGTGGACTCATGGATTGAAAACAGTCGACTATATCTACAAATGGAGTTATGTTCACAAAGTCTACGAAATATTATTGATTTGAAAAAAGAGATTTTTATGGAAAGAGAGGAAAATGAATGCATATATTTGATCGACTATTTTATATCGTATCATATGTTTAAAGAACTGATACAATGTGTCCAATATCTACATAATCTGAAACCTCCAGTTATCCATCGCGATCTCAAACCGCTTAATATATTAATTAGCGATAGTTTGGCAAACAATAGACTAATAAAACTTTGTGATTTTGGGCTACTTGTTGAGCATTACGGTCCCAATCATAATCATTCAGCGGCCACCGGCACTGTTATGTATATGGCACCCGAAGTTAGAGTTGGCGGAAGATATAGTACTAAAGCTGATATCTATAGCCTGTTTCTTATCGGACAAGAAATATTTCAATTGGATATTAATAAACCGTTTGAGTAAGTCATCAATTTATTTAATATACTATAAATCTATAATAAAATTCAAACAAAATAAAACAATATTAGATTTACAAATATTTTTTTTAAAAATAATACAAAAAAAAATTATAATCAATGTTTGTTTTTTTCTTTAGTTCAAATAGTTTGATACTACGAAAAAAATTGCCCATGCTAAAAAATTTATTTAAATCAATGTGCAAAATAACAATCGATAAAAGATTGACATGCAATGAGATACTGGCAATATATCATCAAATTGAAATTGATCTTGGTTATTTCATAAAACACGATCAGTTAGTTGAATATATGTTGGATTGTATCAAAACAAGTGAAATGAATAGACGTTTAAATCTATACAAACAATCGATTCAAAACATACCGATTCCCGATCATAGACTATTACAATACAACTTTTTCTATCAATATTTTTGTAACAAATTAGTTCAACAATCAAATGAGAAACATATTTATTTGTATATATAAACTTAATTTAATTAAAATGTATTAAAAAATAATTTATATCAATATTTTAATTTAAATTACTAAAAATATCTATTTATTTATAAAAATATATATATATTTACTTAATTATGAGTCATTTATGACTATATAATCAAACATTATGTAATTATACGATATTTAGATAATAAAGTTATTAAAGCTTATTAATTATTTATAATATTTTTTAATATTATTAGATATTTAGATAATTATTTTTTAATATTTATATATAATATATATACAATATATATATATAATTTAAATGATTTATTATTATAATAAATTGCATAAACTCATTAATATTTTATTTGTTTTTAAAAAAGTTTAAGTTAAATTAAACAAAATATAATTATAGATAATTATTTTTGATTTAATGATTCATTGGATGTATTGATATTCTACAATGTTTTTAATTAACTTGAAAAAATAATTTTTATTTTATTTTCTAATTACTTTTGATATTATTTACCTATTAATGACATGAATTCATAAAATAATATTTTAATTATTATTCATATATTATATAAATATGCATCAAATGTACTGTAGATATATTTCAAAAATTGTTGTTTACCTTTGAAATAATAAATCAATATATTATCAAAAATTATAATATATTTGAAATTAAAACTTTGAATCCCTTTCTACAGTACTGTATATTAACTGTTAACAGTTAACTGTTTACATCAATACAAGTAAACGTTTTATCCTAAATGTTGATTTATTTAATTTAATCATATAATCATAATTTCTAAAGTAGTACATAAGCATTAATCTAATATAAAAATTAAAAAAATGTTTTAATAAAAATATTGATTATAAATTATAATAATGTATGTAATCTATACAGTATTTATGCAAATAATTATCGTGTTATGATACTATATATTAATATTATAGTTCAATGTAACTATAAATAGTAATAACATATATATATTTTTTATATTAAATCATTAATATTGTCATTTAAATATGTCATAAATAATAATAAATAAAAATAAAATCATTAATTAAATTCATCTATGAAATTATTAAAATTTATTGTTATGTATAAAAACATTAAAATGCACCCAACATTAATTCTATCTCAAATATAAAATTTTTAAATATATAATTCATTAGATTTTATTTTATATTATTGCCAAATAAAATAATATGACTATTTTTCATCTTATATTATAATAAGATATTTTAGACAACTGATTATTTTAATTAATTGCTTAAACTTATTGAAGTTAACTAATTATTTTAAATATAAATAACAAAAAAAAATATTGAATCTCTATTTATTAATATTAATTATATTATAAAAATATATTTCTCAAAATGACATCTGAATATATTTTTAATAACTTAGAAATATTTCTATTAAAACAATGTGTAATTCATCGGACAGTAGATGATTATGTCGAACATAAAAGACATGTTTTACGCGAGTTTTATAACATTTTTGTCAAATTTATGGTATTTGTAGTATTTTTAAGATTTTTAATTTCATCGATTGCTAACCGACCACAAGTCTGGGCACTGGTAGCCGATGGCTCATATTTATTGGGCAATTCTAAACTTATATCCGCATCATTTAGTGACTGTGCTCTGGTTATGTGTCTCATTGGTATTACCTATCAATATCATGAATTGAAAAATCAATGGTATATTTTGGACTTTATTTACGATTATAAACACAGCAAATTGAAATTAGCTTTAAATAAAAAACACGAAAAACAATTTAATATGTATTTAGTATTTTTAGTTAAATACTATTTGAATCAAACCTATTGGGCACAGTTAGCTTTGGTCTTTTTCTATATGTTATATCCACTGGTTATTGCATATATGGATCCCACATCTGGATTCACTATTTTAGGCATAATGTTTGGTATGTTAACCAACTATTTCTGGGCCCAACAATTGGCTTCACTGGCTATCTGTGGTGTTGTGCTCTGGTTTATGATATGCTGTTATTTGAAATATAAATTTATTGAAGTTCACAATACAATAGTTAACGCTATTAATACTGATAATTATAAAGATCTAAACCAAGCAATTATTGAACATAATATGTTATGCAATTTGGTTGTTAAATATAATCACACCTATAAATATGTATTATTCATATTGTATTATATGTCGGTTCCTGGTTTTGAATTGATTTTATTTTTAATATTTGATGAAAATTCAACACCAGTGTCACGATTGGTATTGAGCGCTGCATTTGTTATATTATTTAGCGTATTATTTATGATAAATATGATGTCCACTTGGCTATCGACTTACGCCCACAAACCATACATTCAACTTTTCAGGGCTTTTGCTAGGAATTCATATTCACTGAAAAATAAATATAAATTATTGCTATTTGTTGAACATTTAACCGAACCGGAGATTGGTTTCTATTGTCTTAATATATTTTCAATGAATAACTTGGAGTTTACATATTTTGCTGTTAACTTTGTTGCCAATCATTTATTAATTTTAATTAATTTAATGTATTTTTAATAAATTATATCATGATATTTAAAAATTATAATATATTACTTCACTTATTACTTGTATAATCATTCAAATATATATATACTTTATTTGTTATAAAATTGTAATATATTTAAGTTTTTTTTAAATTGTAAATAATTTTCTATCTTAACAATATATGTAATAATATAATATAAGATAACATTTAATTCATAGGATATTAATTAGATTATTTGGAAGCGTTTAGTGATCCGCCGTCGGACACAAAGTTGATTCCCGTAACAAATGAGGCCTCGTTTGAGGCCAAAAATAGTACGGCGTTTGCAATATCAATGGATTCACCGACTCGTCTGACGGGATAAGTTGTCGCCAATTCATTATACCTTTTATTTGCTTCTTCATCGGTTAGGCCAACAATTTGCAAAAAATTTGTCCGCACAGCAGCCGGACTATCAAAAAATTTAGATAAATTAATAATTTTATTTTATAATTTTTAGAAATTATTGCTCAATAAAAATGTATTTAAATATTTCAATTACTTTACTATATTAACTCTTATGCCTTTAGGTCCCAACTCAAGTGCCAAACATCGGGAAAACATATCGAGTGCTGCTTTGGACATACAGTATAAAAATGATGAACCAAACTATAACATTAGACATATGAAAATACAGATATTATAGATATTATGTTAAATTTAGTATATTTTCAATAATAATGATATATTTATTAATACAAACCGGTTTAATGCCGGCAACGCTTGAAATGTTAATTATATTGCCTTTAGTTTTCTCCAAATGTTCGACACATAAGTGACACAAATAGATAACTGCTTTCAGATTAGTATTCATTAGCTGATCATATTTGCTGAGAATCTGTGGATCATTGATAGGACATCTCAGACCATACCCGGCATTATTGACCAAAACATCTAACTGTTTAAATGTCGTAATAGTTTCGGCAACAAGTCGTCGACAGTCCTCCTCTTTGCTGACGTCGGCCACCACTACTAGAGGTGTCTGACCATTAGGTGAGACCTGTTGACACTCTTTGGCTACTTTTGTCAGATTTTCACCATTTCTACCGGTAATCACTACATGAGCACCTGCTCTGGCAAACTCTACTGCAATGACTGCACCGATACCACTACTGGAACCGCTAACCAAAACTACTTTATTGCTGTAATTCCATCCACGAGACGACATATTTAATTATTTTCTAAAATATTTTAAAATTAATAATAATAACTTTATATATGCTGTAAAGTAAAATAACATATGTTTTGCTTTTTATACAATTTTATACAATATTTTTTAAATACACTTTAAGTGCACTTTTTAATAAATGATTGTAAATAATAATAATAATTGATAACTTTTGATAACATTTGCACTAACCAAGGTTATTAATAATTTATATTATATATTTATAGTATGCATACAATATATTTATTTTAAACAAATAACATGATAATTTTTGTATAAACAGTTAAATATAATATATATAAGGTTAAATAAGATTATAATTTTAAATATTGAATATTTAAAGTTATATTTATACTTTGAGTAAATAATTATGAATCTTATTATTATAAATTTATTATATATCTAATTAACTGATCCCAATTGATCGCCGCCGTCAACAAACATATTACAACCGGTAATAAAGGAGCACAAGTGGTCAGAAGCCAAAAATAAAACTGCATTAGCCGTGTCCTCGGGTGTACCGCACCGTTGAAGCGGTAGTTTACGGCCGCCTTCATCAAAGGCCCGATCAATATATTCTTTCGGTAAACCCATAGCTATAGCGATGTTTGTCTTAACAGATGCCGGACTGTATGTGCATTAAAAAAAATTTTAAATATTAAATATCTATGATTTATTCTTTTTAAATATTTATAAAAATATTTAAAATGATAATTACTTGACTGAGTTAACCCGTATCTGTTTGGAGGCCAACTCCAGTGACAAACATTTAGTTAGCATATCTACCGCACACTTTGACATATTATAAATCATGCAATTATTGAACTAAAATAATAAATAAAAATAGCGAAGAAAACTATAAATAAAATTTCGTATAAATAATAAAAATAATTCATACAATCTTACGACTGGCGACACTCGATATATTGATTATATTGCCTCTAGTTTTGATCAAATGTTCAACACTTAGATGAGATAAATAAATAATTGCTTTAAGATTTATGTCCATAACTTTGTCATATTTATCCAAAATATCTTTGTCTTCAATTGTCGATAGCATACCAATGCCGGCATTATTGATCAATATATCTAACCGTCCAAACGCTTCTATAGTCATATCTATTATTCGTTGGCATTGATCGGGTTGTGCTATATCGCAGACCACTTCAAGTGGTCTGAGGCCAGTAGGAGAGCACAGTTGGCATTGATTGGCAACATCGGCCACTTTGTCTTTTTCTAAGCCGTGCACTACTACATGTGCTCCGGCATTGGAAAATTTAAGAGCAATACCAGTGCCGATACCACTGCTCGAACCGGTGATAATAACTACTTTTCCCACAAATTTAGACATTTTTAAACATCTAAACAAAATTTATTATAAATAATGAATTTTGAAAAATTTATATCTGTATTTATTAACATTTATAATCGTTTTTATAATTTTGGGAGCATTTGCACTAAAAAACTTAATTATTTGTTTATATTATTTATTTAGTTATCAATACATTTTTATAAAATGATGTGCATATTTTACAATTATTAATGTACTGTATATGTAGTTAAAATTTAATTTAACAATAACTTTAATAATATATTTTTACAAAAAAAAACATGGGTTATAAACATATCAGCTCTCAAATTTTATTAATAAAATTATAAATATTTATGCAAAAAATTTATTTGTTGTATTTGTTGATTGTAATATAGATAACGTTTCTTGAGGCTCTATAAGTTTAATACATTATAATATACTGTATACGTGTTTTATAGTATGTAGTGTATAAAGTATTTAAGTAATAATAATTATTTTATAATATTTTTAGTATTTAAATAAAAATAATTAATAATATTTATTTTCTTATATCATTACTACTAATATACTGTATTTTATACATAAATAAAAAATATATTTATGTAATCAGAAACTTTTGTACTTAAAAATAATAAACTTTTTAGTAGTTATTGTTTTACACAAATTATTGTTCAATTTTCTATCTATTTCAATATAAATATAACTTATACTAAGATATAATGGATTTAAGGACACTTGAATCAAAATAATATTAATATTGATTAATTAAGATATATATAATAAATAGTTTATTAGTCATTAATATATCAAATTTGATAATGTCTTAAATAACATTTTAATTTGACATTATGTCTATAAAAAAATTATATAAATATTACTGTATTTGATAACTATAAATATTAATCATAATTGTATTTATAGTTTATTTGTTTTTTGCTAATATGAAATTATTAACAATTTTGTTATTTAATTTAGTTAATGTATTGTTTATTAGCAACACATTATCCGTAACAAAATATGAGCCCAACTGGACATCGCTTGACTCGCGACCACTTCCCGATTGGTTTGACGACCAGAAAATCGGTATTTTCCTACATTGGGGTGTATTTTCAGTGCCGTCACATATAAATGCCTGGTTTTGGTTAGTATTATACAATAGATTCTGACATTTTTTTTATAGTATTGTAATGACAATCTGTATTAATATCTATTTTTTAATATACAAATTCAGGTACAGTTGGAAACACGACAAAAGTCAAGCGTTCATTGATTTTATGACCAAAAACTATAGGCCAGACTTTACGTACGCCGACTTTGCCCATCAGTTTAGCGCCGAGTTTTATGACCCGTCCCGTTGGGCACAGATATTCAAGTAGGTGCCACCTACCTATTTTTTGCTATTGCATTTAATATGGTGTTATACAGTATAAAATTATGGCATTTTTTTCTATCTTTCTCTCAACAGAGCATCGGGTGCCAAATATGTGGTGCTTACCAGTAAACATCACGAAGGATATACATTATGGCCGTCAAAAGTGTCGTTTAATTGGAACGCCAAAGATGTCGGACCTAATCGTGATTTGTTGGGTAAAAGTGATGATTATTTTGTCGTCTAAATACAGTTTATTAAACAACAGTATATTTTTGTTATCTTAATATTAGGTGATTTAGCAATAGCCGTACGAAAAGCTAACATCAGATTTGGTGTCTATCATTCACTGTATGAATGGTTTAATCCATTGTATTTGGAGGACAAGGCTAACAATTGGACAACAAATAGATTTGTTACTGTAAATGCTATTTATATCTATTTACCATAATTTTAATTATTTACAATAATATATATAATATTTGTATATATAAAAAAAATTAGCACAAAACAATGCCTGAATTAAAGGAATTGGTGAACTTGTATGAACCGGACGTTATTTGGTCCGATGGGGACTGGGAGGCACCCGATAGCTATTGGCAAAGTACAGATTTTTTAGCATGGCTTTATAATGATAGGTAACAGTATTTTATATATATCAGTAAACTATTTAAAAATAATAAATTTTGATAAAAATAATTTTTATTTTATTAGTCCAATTAAAGATAAAGTGGTTACCAATGATAGGTGGGGTATGTAATATTCAATAATAATAATAACATTATTTTAAGATATATTATAATAAAAATTATTACACAATACATTATATATAGGTGCGGGCATATCCTGCAAACACGGCGGCTATTTTAGTTGTGCCGACCGCTACAATCCGGGAACACTACAACCGCGCAAATGGGAAAACGCTATGACTATTGACCGAAACGCGTGGACCTATAGACGCGAGGCTCAACTCCAAGACTTTTTGACACCCCATGAGTTGATTGCAACTATTGTCCAGACAGTCAGGTAATGCAATATAATGTGATTATTAATAAAATATTTTAGTTAATTATCCCATAATATATTATAGTTGCGGTGGAAATATTCTGGTAAATGTCGGTCCAACACATGATGGACGCATAGCACCCATATTTGAGGAACGCCTACAACAAATGGGTCAATGGCTTTCAATTAACGGTGAAGCCATATACGGTTCTAAGATATGGATACATCAAAACGATACTATTACTCATAATATTTGGTAAACCATTTGCCAAAACTTTATATATTATATAATATCAAATTTAAGACATAAAACTTAGATTTTCTATTACTTAGGTATACAACTAATAGCAACAAAACAGCTGTTTATGCAGTTGTATTGGATTGGCCTCAAACTGGACAAGTAGTGTTAGGTTCTGTCAAATATAGCACTGTTAGCTCTGTTACAATGCTGGGCACTACTACAGGTGCATTGAATTATAGTGAGGACAGCAAAACTGGCTCAACTCGGGTCACATTTCCTGTAGTCAATCCTGAAAGTGGCCTACTCTGGGCTTATGTATTGAAAATTATAGCTAATTGAAAACTAAGTTAGTTTTAAATATTAATTAAATAAAAAATTGCACTCAACTTGTTTTTTTGTTGTTAATAAACATATAATTAAATATCAAAATTAAATTTTATTTTTCAAAAAATATATCTTTTTAATTATGAACTAAATAAACATTAATTGTAATCACACGTAACGGTCCACCAATTGTAGGTACTGGTGCTGGGGATGCAGACACCAAGGGGTGAATGTCAGATACAAATTTAGGTGTGTCTGCATATGAAGACTCGGTTAGTGTGGGTATGGTTTGTACGTACACACGAGGAACACCAACTATTTCAGGTGATGGACTAAAATCAATAGGTATTTCTGGCGATCTAAAAACAGGCGATTCGGTTGCCGTTGTAATTATAGGTACTTCAGTAGTTCTTGCATCAGTGGTATCTTCATTATCATCATCATTATCGTCATCATCATCCTCTTCATCATCCTCTTCATCATCTGGGCTATCATCTGATGGAGGGGTTGATTGTATTGATGTTGTAGTAGTAGTCTCTACTTCATCGTCCGGTACCGTCTCGTAATCGACAGTACCTTCTGTTGTAGTGATTTGTTGTGGATCTTCGCCATCCAATTCGGTTGTCTCATCTGAACCGTTATCTTCTCTATCATTATCGCTATCAGCAGAGCTATCAAAATCTGATACATTATCGTCGTCGTTGTCATCACCTTCTGCTGGTTGCTCTTCAGTTGATTGATCGTCTGTTATCTCTTCCTCTGAATTGGTTTCACTGTTTTCATCACTATTACTATTATCTTCATTATCGTCAACACTGTCACCATTAGATTGTTCAGTATCTTCGTCGTCGTTGTCGACGTATTCAACAGTTGATTGTTTTGAAGCTTTTGGTTTAGCTTTTGTTGATTTATTTGTCTGCTCTTCACTAACTTGTTTACCATCACTACAGGTCTCACAGTTGTTATTAGTATTACTTTGTCTCACATTTATCTTTGATTTCATCGCCGGTTCAGTGCTTATTTCAAATCCATTGTCATCGCAATCATTAATCAATTTAGTATTATTATTATTTTTCATATTATCAGCCCTTTTATTAATATTTCTAATGTTTTTACCTATAACTTATCAAAATTAGATATTAATTAGTAATAATTTTAAATAACAATTAAATTTTATTAATTGATTATTTTTTACTTAAGAGTTAGCAAATAAAATAATTATGATATAAATTAATGTTACCTTTATCATTTTTGGCATTTTTATTAGATAGTGATTTAGCTAAAATAAATTAAATCAATATATTGATAATAATAATAATAATAATAATAATAATAAGTTATATAAATATAAAACAAATTTGAAGTAATATTAAAAAACATATTTACGGTATACTATTGCATATAACATAATGTTATTTGATTTATATTTAGATGTATTTAATAAAAATGCCTTAATTGATGGCGGCTTTAATTTATTATTATTATTACTTTTAATAACACTTTGTCTAATGGGCTTACTATTAATAACACTACATAATAATAGTAATAAATATAAAAGCATATTAAACAAAATTAAACGCATTTTTATTTATTAATAACTAATTTATAATTTACAAACTGATTAATAAAATAAAATTATACTCTATAAAAATAATACATAGTGTAAATTATTAACATTTAGTTGACAATTGGTAAATTACAATAAAACTTAAAACTTATTTGTTCAATTTTGATTGAATAATAAAAATTAACATAATTACAAAAAATTGAATACACTATTGAATATTATAAATAATATTATTAAAATTAAATAATTTTAAATAAAACAATATATCAAATAAAATAACTTTTGAAATGAAATGTCATTTTGAATAAAACTTTTACTAATCAACTAATGATTACAATTGAAATACAGTAAATAATTTTATTTGTTTTTTTATAATAACCCTTTTATTTTGTAAACTAATACAGGAATCAAGTTTTTTCATTCAATTACACTTTAATCAGGAAAACTACTGTATATTAAATCAAAATATTATGATTATTATCTAATTATATGAAAAAAAGTTTCTCTTATTAAACTTAGGAGTACTGTATAATGAAATTTAATATTATAGATAATGTTTGAATTTTATATCTACCGGTAATATTTTAGTTTTCAATCCAAACATTTTTATCCAAACATGTTAGGTATCATTTTTTAAAAAAATTATAAACTGTCAATTTAAGAAATTAATTATAATAATTAAAACTTTTAAAAAAAATATTTTTATAAGTATAATCTTTATTGATAATTATCACCTATATAAAAAAATTATTTTCGATATAAATATTATACTACAAAATTTTAACTTTTATTTTTTTAAAAAATTAATATTATTATATATTTACTACATTTTATTACAATATTTGCTACAATTTAAACTATTATATTAAGTGATAGATTAACATTGGCTATTGGGATAATTTAGACATTGTATTAATTTAATTAATTTACACAATCCATTGTTTTGATGGTCGTGTGGCACTGGTATGAATGGGCACTGTTGTTGGTTTTGTTGGTAATTAAATGGTTGTGTGGCTAACAATTTAATCAATGGCATTTGATAACCAGACATATCATAATTAAACCGGTTGTCAATTAATTTTTTAATATATAATTGCTCTAAAATTGGATGTATTGTTTGCTGATGTGTCTGTACCGGTACTATTGGATAATTGGGTGAAGTATTTATATGTATCTGTGATGGATGATGCTGCACAGGTATATAGGGAATGGGATGTTGTTGAGGTGGTAATGGTTGGGGCAAATGAATGTAATGTGATTGTGGTACTGGTGACGGATAGATATGACCAACTTGTGGTGGAGATAAAGGATGGGCAGGGATTTGCTGAAGTGGAAATGGATTTATTGGAAAAGGAGGCGAATGGTGTAGAAGACCGGGTGATTGATAGATGAATACTTGTTTTATTGGCACCGTTTGTGTAATGTTTTGAATTTCAGTTTCCTCGTCTTCACTATCAGGCGGTTCATCTACCGGTGCTTCTGTAGTAGCTATCGATGTAGTCATCGGTGTTGTACTACTAGTAGTAGCAGTAGTCATATCTTCATCCATTTCATCGAAATCTGACGCTTCTGTTGGTTCTTGAGTACTGACATCTGGTTCTTCTTCGGTTTGCGCCTCAGGTTCTTCAGTGACACCATCAGTGCCATCATCACCGCCAGTGACTTCACTCGTCAATTCAATATCGTCGACCATTTCAGTTGTCGGTTCATCCAAATCTTCAATTGATGGTTCAGTAGTAGTTGTGGTGACATTTAGACGACAACCCTCACAATCGGCAATCTGTTGTCTGTTTCGTTTAATCACTCGTTTATAATTTTTTGTCCTTTTTTTCTTCATCGTCTTCTTTGACTTCTTTTGTGACAAAACTTGAGTTTTAGTTTTGGATTTTGTTTTAGATTTAGTTTTTCTCACATTTTTTCGTTTCAAACCTTTGCTTAGATCACGATTTTGTTGTTTTTTATTTAATTTTCTTTTATTTGACTTTTGTGTGATTTTTTTTCTACGACTACTTTCGGCATAAATAATATCAAATGATTGTCTGTTTTTGTCGCCCAACGACCGCTTAATTGAATACAAGTCATGATTTTTGTTGTCCACTAATTTTGATACATTTTTTGGTGTATTTTTTCTATAGATTTTATATTTAATGCCTTCCCGTTTAATGGCCTTTAAATTAGGTCGATCTGATAATTATTGATATATGAATGTATGTATAATATGATATATATGAAAATGATAATAATAAGTGTTACAAAATATAATATTAAATTTTGTATTAAATATTTATATTGTTATTAAATATTATACTCACGAAATCATATTTTATAATTGTAAGGACTGTAGTAGTCCTTAGATAATTAAATAATATAAAAACTTTATATTCATATAACTTAACACAATCTTTAAAATTTAAGTTTTATATCGTAAATAAAATAATTTTTAACATTTAATATGTTAATTTATAAATATTTATGCTAAAATATTTATCTATCTATCTTACTATAAAACTTTAGTAAAAAAAATATTATCAAGTATTAATAATTTTATTATTATTATTATAAATAATTTTTATTAAATATAAATTATAAATATTTATTTAATGCTAAATTTTCAATAAAACAGAATAAATAAGTAAATACTATTTATTAAAACAAACCTTTATATAAAATTTGTGTTTTAAATCTATTATTTGATGATTTTTTAAATATTACACTATTATTATTATTATTATTTAACTTTCTTTTTGATTGTTTACATTCATAGCTATATAATATAACAAACAAAACTAATAACAAATAAAACTTCATGACAGAAACAAAACAATAAATAAATAATTTTTAATAATAATAAATATTAAAATTTTAGTTGATTTAACATGTTTAGTGAATACCATATGTACAGTACATGAAACACATATGAAAGTATATTATAAGATTGTCAGAAAAATTTTTATGCATATTATAGAAAGTGGTTTAAAATTAAAATATAAAACCCAATAGTAGGTAATTATGTTTTATTTATAATCTAAATAAAACAAAAATATAAATATGTGAAAGTTAATACAATTTGTTTTTGAAATAACTATCTCTTTCTAACTCTATACTAGATTTAATATATTTGTATATATTTTATTAGTATTAGATATAAATATATATTTAATTGTAAAAACTATAACTAAATTAGATTATAATTGCGTTTAATATAGGTTAAAAATCTAAATTATACTTTAATAAATAATTAACAAAATCAATAATATTGCTCAGGGCTTATACAGTAATTTCTATATAGTATCATATAAGATAAAATTATTACAATAATATTTATATTTAATTTAAAATAATTTAATCTGTAAATGAGTTTTAAATCACAAAATATAACTTACAAAAAATAACTTTTATTTGAATATTAAAATTGAGCTTTGATTAATACACAGTTTTTTAATTGTGTATATATATCATATACATACAAATGGATATTTTAAATCT